GTTTTTCAATATTAAAATTAATATAGGGCGCAAGCCATTTAGACTGTCTAAATTTTAAAATTCTGTGGTATTTTGTAACAACCAAACCAAATTCTTCATATTTGTGTAATGCTTTATAATGTAAAATATATTTAGTTTTGTCATTTAAATTAGGTATTAATTTGCCATTCATTTTCTCTGGTGCTAATGGATAGTCGTTATGTAAATCATGTAAGCTTTTATCATATTTTAAATCAACTTCTAAAATGTATCCAAACTCATCATTTTGATTGTATTTGTAGTCTACCTCATTAGTCCAACGAAATCCATCCATGGGTAGTGTCTCACACATAGCTGTAGAGTATAGCGAGTTACAATCTAAATATATTAAATACACACTTTCTTGATTGGGATCATAATGTTCGCCCATATATCTATTATTGGCTTTAGCGTAACGTGTAGAAATCATACTGACTCCTCCTCTGATTGCACTTTCTATGAACAAATGCATGTCAATATCTTGAAATAATTGTAATTTTATACCAGTCATTCTAAGACAGGCTTCCCATGTTAGTCCTGGAAGTGAATACATATGTACGGGGTCAAGTTTATAATCCTTTAAACACAAGTCTCTAAATGTCTCAAACACATCAGCCAGTAGCAATACATCTGTTTTAAGATATAAATCATGATATTCTTGTAAATTCTTGATATTAAAATGGGTCCAGACATTTTTAGCATGTTCATATTCGATGGGAGAGATATGTTCTTTAGTTATAGAACTGTAAAATGTTTCAATTGGGGGTAGAGACTCTGCGAACTTATCTGGTCCCGTCATATATTCATAGGGATATACACCTTTACGTTGTAGTAGTGGATTTTGTATGAATCTAAATGTGTTCAAATTGGAAGCCAATTTATATAATGGAAGGGACAGAAAGTTGTATGAATCTAAAAATACTAAATCATCAACAGAGAATGATATATATTTTTCCATATCCTTGGCTATACAATCTAATTTACGATTATATTTTCCCAAGTGTTGCATTATTAAATGCCCATCATAATTTTTCAAGTTATGGAAGAATACTGGGATTTTATTTGTTACTTTATAGTTTAAATTACAATCATTGTGGGAAGCTCCACGGTATTGGCCAGATGAATGACAATGATCTCTCACCCTATCAAAATATAGGGGCTTTTCACAAATATGACAATGCGTTGAGTTTTGGAAAGATGCCTCTTGCTCAGGAGTCATTACAAGGGGAATATATATCGCCATTTGACTTTTAATAAAATCATAAGTCTCAAATAATCTTTCGAAAAACACATCCATAACATTTGCACCACTATATAACTCTTCAGAAATAATCTTAGAATCTTTTACTACGACAAATGCAAATCCCGATGGAATATGTATATTGGAGTTTATAAAACATTCAAAATCTGCATAAATCACAAATGGGGCTTTAAGTTGATATTTATAATTTTTAAATTGTAATGTATCTTGTTTAGACATTTCCACTCGTTGGGCATCAAAGTTCTTACAATATGTTATATGATGTTCTAATTTATCTTTAGTGTAAAAATGTTGTAAACAAAACTTGCAAAAATACTTCTTATGGTCATATTTTGTAGATCGTAGCATTAACCTATTAAAATCACGAATTAAACAGTAATGTGATTTACGACCTTGTTGTAATAATAATAGATCTATATGAGTAATACTATTTAGTTTGGTTCTTCTTAATGGATATATAAATTTTTGGTCTTCAACTCCAAATACATTAACACTTATATTATTCTTTCTTTCAAATTGATCTATGTCAGATATTTTTACGGGATATTTTATATTTGTCATGTTCAACTTACCTACGTAGGGTGCATAGTTAGAGACTCTATTAGCATGTTTAGCATTCCTTGGATATAAAGCTGCTAAAATTGACCAAAGGAAGCATTTATTATCAACATTCTTTATATTTAAAACTGCTTTTGTCAATTGAATACTTTTTGGTGTGGGAATATATGACTTTGGAGTTAGGGGCTTATACTTGTAAACGTGCAACTGCCAATATTTAGTGTGGTCATATATCCATCCACTACCCTCGGCTTGATATTTGTGTATGGAAGCGTCAATCTTTAAAAGAGCATTTTCAATTTGAGGCTTTAAATCTCTCTTCTCAATGGTTAAGGTAGTAAGGCTTCTAAAATCTGCAATACATTCTTTCTCATTAACTAATTTTCCATTTTGATCTATTGTATATTTTATAAATTTAATTCTCCTTACTAAAGTCCATTTTATCGGTAGAGGACAAGACTGAAGAGTACTTTTAAGTTCAGTTTTAATCGATTCACCGACAAATTTAATCATTGTATATGGACATTTGTTACAAGAATTTACGTGTCTTTTAAAATGACCAACAACATTTCTTTTACAGAAATTACAAGTCTTGTGACTTTGTAATATATGAGATTTTAGAGCCATGTTACTATCACAGATTATATCACAAACTTTGCACAGTTTCACCTTCATTTTATGTATTACCTTGTAGTGGCGAATAAGGTTGCTTTTTTTGGAGAGCGATGCAAAACAATGTTGACATGTAGTCTTCATTTTTATATATGTAATTAAAAAATAGGTTGGCATCTTCTATATAGTAGAAATTACATTTTGACAATTTCAATTAATGAGAAATAATAATTTGAATCAGAATTTTATATTTTAATATTCAAAACAATTTCATACAATAAGATTTGGCAATTGTAATTTTCTAAATCAAAACTAAATCCAAAATCTTAAATAAAAATACTTTTTAGCAATTCAGATTGCTAAGTCTACATATATACAGAGTGAGTGTTATCTATTTTAAAGGGGACTTGACAAAATTATATAGTGAGTGTAATTCGGCTAAGTTTTTAAATAATAACTTGTGCACATTTTGACTCAAAGTCCCCTGGTGCGTGAAGTTTGGCTAAGTTTTTAAATAATAACTTGTGCAAACGTTTGACTCAAAGTTCCCCCGTGAGTATAATTCGGCTAAGTTTTAAAATAATAACTTGTGCACACTATTGACTCAAAGTCCCCCCGTGAGTGAATTTGGCTAAGTTTTTAAATAATAACTTGTGCACACTATTGACTCAAAATCCCCCGGTGAGTGAATTTGGCTAAGTTTTAAAATAATAACTTGTGCACACTATTGACTCAAAGTCCCCCCGTGAGTGAATTTGGCTAAGTTTTTACAAAATAACGTGTACACACTTTTGATTTGAAGTCCCCCGGTGGGTTGAATCCAGCTAAGTTTTTAAAAAATAACTCGTATATATTTTTGACTCACTTAAAAATAGTAATAACAAAATAAGTTACTTTTTGGATAGAGAAGCAGCACACAGTTGACATGTAACTAAAAAACAAAGTTAGCATCTTCTATATGGTGGAAATTACATTTTAAACAATTTCAATTAATGGGAAATAATAATTTAAATCAGAATTTTAAATTTTAATATTCAAAACAATTTCATACAATAAGATTTGGCAATTGTAATTTTCTAAATCAAAACTAAATCCAAAATCTTAAATAAAAATACTTTTTAGCAATTCAGATTGCCGAGTCTACATATATACAGAGTGAGTGTTAGTTATAGAGAAGACTATGTTACCTATGTTAAAAGGAACTCGACAAAATTATATAGTGAGTATAATTCGGCTAAGTTTTTAAATAATAACTTGTGCACATTTTGACTCAAAGTCCCCTGGTGCGTGAAGTTTGGCTAAGTTTTTAAATAATAACTTGTGCAAACGTTTGACTCAAAGTTCCCCCGTGAGTATAATTCGGCTAAGTTTTTAAATAATAACTTGTACACATTTTGATTCAAAGTCCCCTGGTGCGTGAAGTTTGGCTAAGTTTTTAAATAATAACTTGTGCAAACGTTTGACTCAAAGTTCCCCCCGTGAGTATAATTCGGCTAAGTTTTTAAATAATAACTTGTGCAAACTTTTGACTCAAAGTCCCCCTCATGAGTGAATTTGGCTAAGTTTTTTAAAATAGACTTATATACATTTTAAGTTCCTTAGTGACTGTTCAAAATACTCTAAGTCTTTAAAAATAGATTTATATACATTTTAAGTTCCTTGGTGACTGTTCAAAATACTCTAAGTGTTTAAAAATATACTTATATACATTTTTTACAAGTTCCTTAGTGACTCAATTCGGCTAAGTTTTTTAAAAATGGACTCGGGAAATTAGCTACACTCCTAAGTTAAAAGAAATACAGAGTATGAGTACAAACATCAATTACGTCACCAATTGATCCCATGACCCGACACGCGACAACATATTACAATAGTCTAGCTTAGATGTCAAAGACTTACCATAGCAAGAAGATCCAGGTGGAAGAGTGAGTGATGATTCCGTAGAATGCCCCCCTTATATACCACAAAATTGTCTAAATTAATTTAGAACAATGGAAATTGAACAAACTGAAATTGAACAATTGAATAATTGAGGTCAATCAATCAAACATATTTGGTAATTGTCTAAACCTGCCCCAGACAGACTGGCGCCAGACAGGCAGAGAATGTTGACAATTGGTTTTGATTGGGGTCATTAGGTTACACTCACAGTCATTCATTTGAGTCGGGCATAGCTTACACATAGCCATAAGCGTGCCCGAGTTCGCGCACAAACCTAACATGATTTTGAAAATATACATGGGAATGGATGTGGATTTGAAATTTTAATGGAGTTTGAACATTTGTATGGGCTTGTATTGGACGAGATCTAAATATAGCTGGTCTTTAAAAAAGTGGCCAAAAAAAAGCTCACCATTTCCAGACGTGATTTTTAGTATTAAAAAAGTAGAAAATTTATATAGGGGTGTATAGGTCGAGAGCTGGGTCTTTAAAAAAAGTGGCCAAAAAAAGCTCTTCCATTTTTTCCTCATTTTTCCCCTATAAAAAGTGCCCTAAAAGTGCCTCTAAAACGCCGAAAGTGGGGTCATATTGCTATATTATATCTACTATTGACCTGGGCTATTACATTTTTATGGATACAACTATATTAAGAATAAGTGAAATAGGTTAATCAAAGTACATAGTTCAATAAGTAACTGATCTAACTGCAATTAACATTCCAAACAACTTTTCTATCAATTACTCAATCCACCCTTTTCCCATTAATAACCTTGCACTTTTTATAATAAACCTAACTTATTAATTTATCTAAGCTATGAAATTGAAACTGCTGCGCCATCTTTCATCCAGATTATTTTCCTCCAAGAAAATTGAAATACCTTTAGGTCTACCCTGTAAGGTAAGATTCAACCCTGAAATTTTGAATCATATTTCTCTTAACTTAGGCCTAAGTTAATTTTTTAACCTAAAATCACTGATGGGATAGGGTAGACTTTAATATTGGTCATCAAAAACAACCAAATTAAAATATCGGTGATATTTTGTATTCGATATATCGAATAAAATAATCATTCACTTAAGTTATACATCGAATTGATATTTTCATTTGGTTGTTTTTGACAACAGGAGATACTTATGAAAGTCTACCCATATGGGATAAGTTATAAGTTAGTTTAGAGGTACCGGTAGTGCAAATTTATGAACTAGACCTTTACACAGTTAAATTATTTTTGCAGATTTGTTCTCTTAACTAGACCCTGTTAAAATGTTCAATTTATCTCTTCATTGAACTGTCAATCTTCTTATTGGTGGCAGAGCAATCCTATCATTATCCCTAAGCTTACTTAGGCTACTGTACTAAATTTCATATTTTAAATTAGTCCTAACTCCTAAGCGATAGTATTGAATGTAGGCTAGACTGAAAAATTTAAGTAGGTAGCCTAAGCATGGCTCTATCAACAATCACATAGGCTACATACGAAGGGTATGCCTATTTCCGTCGCCTAATGTATTTCCAACCACTAAAATAAGCTGGCTTGCCAATGCGTAATACAATTCATAACCAATCTACAGTATTTATCACAGCATTAAATTATATGCCTATTCAAACCTATTCATAGACAGAATATTTGAATGAAATGATTTATATTCTGTGTCTATATAGGTGGATCTCATCCGGAGTCAGAAGTACAGTGCAGACGAGTACACAGTGAGGACCGACGATGGTTACTTGTTGGGTCTCACCCGGATACGTTCAACCGGAACTAAGCCTCCGGTGTTGATGGTGCATGGAGTCATAGCTGCCTCGGACCAGTGGGTGCTGCGTGGACCGGACCAAGACCTGGGTATGTATGGTTTAGAATGATTGTATTGTAACTTATGAGGCGGACTCAGGGTACTAGCACGTCAACCGAAGCTTATTGTGCATACCCAATTTGCCATTCAGTTGTCATCATTGTCATTCCCAGAGTTTGAAGGTGTTGCCTTAAATACCTCTGCGTCTTAAATGTCGTCAGACCTATCTATGGGTTGAACCTCTAGTCATCTTTGAAGGTCCTTTAGCTGAGAGTGGAATGACCGTTGTACCTTTAAAGTGCTTGGACACCCTTGTCTCAACATCTAGACCCACAGTTGAGCCTCTGGTCTTTGGGGCTTTTCTGTTTCTACCTGCGCCATTTGAGAATGAGGTCTTGCTCTGGATGAGCTAACCCCTAAAGTGTTGGTGATGCAACTTCTGGAGTTGTAACGAGGTTTTAGGTTCTGGTCGGGTTTAGGTTTTCTAGAAACCATAACGCTCACATCAGTGAATTGCTGTGTGAGGTTGAAGGTTGGACCCAGGCAGAGCTCCCCCATGCCCAGATAAGACTAGTTACTCCAGGAGATTGCCTGGTATCCTGGAGGCTCCGTAGGCACAACTGCTGGGGAGCCCGGTGGCATTCAACTCTTTGGCAGGGGTTGCTTGACACCACTGAGGTTTGATTGAAAAAGAAGCGAAAGGAAAGGAGAAGTGAAGGAGAGTTCATCAATAGGAATGTAAAGATGACAGAAGAGCTAGCAAAAGAAGAAGTATGCTGGTCATAGAATCCAGAACAAAGAAGAGGAGGAATCTGGGGATTGGCCACCTCCCCAAAGGATTGGTACCTAGGGATTGCCAGCCCATAAAAGGCCTCTCATGTAGTTGACAGACAAAATTACCCCTGAAGTGGTGTAGAGTGGTACGTTAAGTTGGAAAAAAAACCCTCTACTGTAGTTCTTTTTTCCAGGGGAACTAGGGCTGCAACAAATCAAAACTTAAGTTACCTAGATTCCTTCCTGTACCGTAGCTCTTTCTTAATTGAACTCCTATCACTGTTTCTAGCTTTCCCCATCTCCTGCTTCTTGTGGGTTCCAACCTTAAGCTTGGCAGCTAATTTTGTTGTAACTCTTCCTCAAGATGCAACCTTTCTTACTCTTCACAGATAAAAACTCTTGGGACTGATTGAATGTAGGTTATGAAGATGAATTTGGATTTGATAAATCACAATTTTAATACTTTACACTATTTAATGTATTTGACAACTTCCTGTTAAATTTGATCAAAAACAGTTTATTAACAAGGTCAAACAGTCAAGATTAGTGATTATACATGTTACAACTTCTGTGGGATTTGAAACAAACAAAAGACTAATTGACTAAGTTAACGAAGGTTTTATTTTATTTTTATAGTATCTGCAACAACTATGATCATTTTAAGTGACTTTAAAATTTAATGTTGAACAGCATTTATCCTGGCGGACCAAGGCCATGAGGTTTGGCTGTCTGACAACCGAGGGAACTTCTACTCTCGTAACCATGAGAAACTTACAGTCTCGGACCCACAGTTTTGGGACTACAGGTAGGTAAGATTAGTATGCTTGCTAAGAGCCAGGAGCTATTTTAATGTACACCATATAATTGCTATGTGATGAAAAAGCAGCCAACGGCAAGGAAAATTTCAATTTCAATATGAATTACTGGTAGGTCTAAGTATGAACTTGAATAAGATAGGCTAGGACAATTTTTGTAACAATGTCATTGTCTACGACAACCAAAGTTACAATCTAATACGAGATAAGCAAATAACAATTGAATACAGCAACAAAAAAATTTCCCCCAACATTGATGTATTAAAAAAAAAACAGCAAAAAAGTGTATTCTTACTACAATTGGGCCTGATTATGGCCGTGGTTACCTGGTCAAAATTGATGATTAATATCTTTTTATATATTGACTCACTTTTTTGAATATGCCTAGAAGTGTAATTTCATTGTGGAGGTACCGGTAGGCCTATATAATCTTTTATTAGATTTGGTACTATCACTATAACATAATTCTAACCAACAAGACTAATATTCAATCACCAAAAATACATTTTTTTACATTCAAAAGCTAGGCCTACAGATATTTTTTAGAATCAATCTAGTTAACATTTTTATAACAAACCAGCAAATCTGGACTGATTTTTATTTATTGGATGCATACAATGCTGACACTCTACAGTGTGTATTTTAACCCTAAGATGAGTGCAGTCAGTTGATGTTGATGGCTTTGTTAAGGTTAGCTGTGATAAGGCAAGACAATCTATTAATTCCCAACGATTAAGGATAGCTGAGTCCAGTTACAAAACCTAAACTTACTTTGTAGGAATCAGTTAAATGTCTGTTTTGTTGGAATTGTCAGTTTTCACGAGATGGGAGTTTACGATTTGCCGGCTCTGATAGACAAGGTACTCGCAGAGACCAACCAAACGCAGCTGTTCTACATCGGACATTCGATGGGAACTTCTGTCTTCTACGTGATGTGTTCCGTCAAACCCGAGTACAATGAGAAGGTGAAGATGGCCGTTCACTTAGCTCCTATCGCCTTCAACTTAAAGAAACAGATGACGTTTTCACTCAGAGTGTTGCTCCAGAATGTTTACAGGATTGCGGTAAGTTACATTGCGAAAACTCTCAGAATTAAAAAAATGAACGTACAATAAGAATAATTGTAGATTGAATTGCACACCTCCTAATAGGCTAGATTTATCGTCCTGATGAAACAGCTTACAATTTCAAGCCATGTTTCTCTTCGGTCTATGTATAAGGTTTCCATGTCTACTACCTACATATTTGTTTCTTATTATTCTACACAACATAAGGCCGTATTTACACCGAGTTATAACAAGTGTTTATAAACATTTTATGTTACCAACATTTCGTTATGACTTGTAACTTTTGTTATTAACATTTTGCCACTTCCACATCCTCACTTTCACGTCAGTTCCCGCAACAATGTCAACCGAGGACTGAGCAGTTTGATTTTGGCGCAGCAAAGGAAACCAAGAAGATTCTGCGTTTGTGACATGTTACAAGATTTAAAAGATGATGACATAGATCCTTTGTCGAGTGAGTTAGGTGTGACAGGAGCTTCTAGAATTTCCTACGTACATTTTTAAATGTACATTTAAAGATACAAATTCAAATGTACATTTTTTAGGCTTCAGACTTACTAAAAGAATTAAAAGTCTACTCGCGCTTTTGTTTGGTATGCCTAGTACCTGGCCAGAGTTGTGCGTGTGCATACCTAACTTATTACAGTAGACTCCCTCTTATCCGGACTCCTCAGGACTGAGGCCAGTCCGGATAACGGTTTTTCCTGTTAAAACGATGTCCCCAAAAACTCGTAAAAACGGACCGTTTAAATGCGAATTTGACTTAAATTTAGGAGAGCATTATATTTAGACACGTAATCACTGGTCTCAAATCTTACCCACGAGAACGGTCGTTTCAGTGCCACCCACTTTTTTCTGATCTAGTTCGGTTAAACCGATGTGCTGATAAAAATTTTATGTCCGGTTAAACGTGTCCGGATAAGAGGGAGTCTACTGTAATTATCTACTGTTATATTGCCACATTAAAGCTATGACTTTTTTCATTTAAATGTTTCATCAATTATTTATTTAATTTCCTATCTTGATTATCCATTATCAAATTATAAAGAACTAGGCCTACTTTAAATGATTTTTCAGTTGTATATTTGAATGTTTACCTGAATGACGTTTTACAGGATATACTGAAAAAGCAGAATTTATACGAATTCCTGCCTCGAAACAGGCAAAACTACTTGTTAGTGGACTTTGTGTGTTCTAATAACTACAAACATCTCTGTCAAGTTCTGGTCAGTCAGCTGTATGGCCCAAGTTGCGATCCTATCAAAACGGTAAGTCTTGAATTTGGTTTATTCTAGGCCTAGTCTAAAGTAAATGTAAAACAGATTTAGACCAGAGGTTAGCGTCCTACGATGTGAAGGTGGGACATAATAATAGAAAATAAAAAAACCCTTTTTGGTAAAAATTTTTCAAATAAACTAGTTAAAAGGTAATTAATCATCGCATATAACAATGGTCAGATTGCAAAGGTAGTAATAAATTAATGATATAGCACATGATAGCGACATATTTACTGTACTAGTTAGTGGTAAGTTAATTTAGATAATGGTGTCCTAATAAATCCTATTTGTCCTTGGAGCCTAGACGTTCTAACTCATAAAGTCAGATAAGTCATCTACAAAACACATTGTAAATTGGTTCTTGACCGTTGGAAGGTAAAATAAATAAATAAATAAATAAAACAATTGAAAAACTACAAAGGAAATTTCTAGTACCACAGTTTACTATATATTTAGATTACAATCACTCTGGTGTTTGAAAAATATTTTAGGACGGTAAATAACTGTTCAGCGATTGTTTGAAATTAACGAAATTAACATTGCTCTTATGACGAGCAAATCCATGATGGCCCTTAACTTCCTTTGACAACAATTCAAAACTACAAAGAACATGTCTAATCCCACAGTATACTAAACGTTTAAATTATAATCCCTTTGGTGCTTGAAAAAATATTTTTGGACGATAAATAATTCCTCAGCAGCTGTTTGAAATCATCCAAGATGGTCGCCAGCCTCCAAGGGGTCTTTAAGTCTAAGACAAACACTTCAAACATTTTGTAAGACTGTTGTTACTACCTGACAAAATTTGAGCATTGTCCATATTCAACTAAATAACCTCTGTTGTACTTCCTACATCAGGACTTTTAATATTTTATCCTAGTTTACTCAAATGTTATCTCCTTGTTCCAGGCAAAGATGAGAACTTACTTGAAGAGACTAATATCTGGAACTTCAGTCAAGACAATGCTGCATCTGTCCCACATATATAACAACAGTAAGTATAAACTCACACAGTAGCTAAGATAAATTTAGGTTTTTAAGCTCTAGGGATGGACGAGATTGGAGTTTTAGTTCGAGACGAGATCGAGACAGGATTTCCCTTTTTATACATAACGGGAAATGCTCGTTCGACATTTTTACCTGATTTTGTAACATTAAATTCCTACTGATTTATGACGGATTGTTTAAATACAAAAATAATAATAATAGGCAAGAATATTTAAAATCTTTTATAAAAAACATCAGTATAAAAAAAAATTATATTAATTATGCCTACCTTATTAAAAATAACTCTTGCGCTTAGGAAACATGGTGACTAGTTAGGATACTACAGTTTAACTTTGAAAAATACCAGATATATCGGTCTTGAACATCAGTTTTACTAGGTAATTATCAAGCAACAACTATTCAGTCTTGTGTTATTTTTAGAATGATATTGGAGGGACTTGTTTTGGCTATGAAAGAAAGAAAGAAAATACCCCCGCCGCAGCAAGCCTGATGCAGACTTAGCGAATTTCCATTTGCCTGATTGGATTTACACTAAAATGTTTTCTTAAAAATATCACATTTATTACCTATTTAAATAGTTTAACGATTACTTAGGTTTGCTGCAACAGGGAGGGTAAAAATGTGTTTGTTGTAAAATGTTAATACATACTGTAGTTTAGTAAGAAATTAATGTATTTTCCAAATTTGATCACAATATGTTCATAAACAAGCAAACTACACCAGTTTACTTATTCTCCATAAGAATAACATGGGAATTTTAAATTTAAATGTTTTTTTTAATTTCATCCGCAACCATTAGGCGCATAATAACGCTTCAGTATACTAAATTATTTGTTTTTTTAAGCTCTACAAAATGGTTACAAAAGAAATTGTGAAACTTTGTGTTTTTAGGGTTAAAAATGGGATAAACCTATTTTTACCCCATAAACCCCCCATTCCCATAGTCCGATCATGCGGTTTCGCGAACTCGTTCGAATAAATGCAGGTTTACACGTTTGTACCAAATTCCATCAAAATCAGATCATTTTTGATCGAGTTATCGTGGTAACGGACACACATATATATAAATGAATTTGAACGGATGGTGTTTTTGGCCTCTAAGGGACCTCAAAACAAAAAAGTAAATCGGTCCCGGGTCCAAGTCTTTCCATGAGTACTACGGTAATAGCTTATTCCCTATAATATAGGGATTTCCCATATTATGGGGAATTTACAAAAAGTGCTTTATTTTTTTAATTCATTTACACCCTGTTATATATAAACAAAAACAAAAAACACAAAAAACAATGACTTATTTATTTAAACCGTCTGTTTGGTTGGCACCCTGCTACATTTTTTAAAAACTGTAACATAAAGTAGCTATTTAACTATACATATTCAAATAACAAGTATTATTGAAATTCAGCTCGTAAAAAAAACTGATCATAAAATAAAAGCAATATTAATTTGTATAAAATACTTGTTTTGACTATGTTTACAGTAGTAAAACATCTCTCACACTGATTAACAATTAATTAAAGTAACATTTACATGTAAAGAATTAATGAAATAAGAACGGCTTCGTAAAGAAAACGCAACTACAACGTGCTCCGGTGTTGCGGGTATTGCATTGACTATCTGCAGGCGTTTTCAAAAAAATATTAATCTCTTCTCAAACAAATCTCAATCAAAATAAACCCTCTTCTCTTAGGACAAGATTTGAAATTTCTCAAAATATCGAGACTTGTATATCCCTATTAACCTCCAACGTTCTCGTAGTCTGCAGCATCAAACTTCTTCCCACCATCTTGCTTTGCACCTTCCAGTTGGTCTCCTTCCCTCAGGAGTATTTCTCAACAGGTTTTTGCTATCAAGTTCTTTTTTTTTCCAAATAAGTCCAGTTTATCTTTTGTTTAGGCCTAGGTGTCAGATTATGTAACCGAGATTGACAGTCAAAATTCCATCATCGAAGGTTTGACCAAATAACTTTATAAGGATCTTGTTTTCCAAAGAGGACATTCTAACCTTTTGATGGAGTCTCTCGCCTTATACAAAAAGAAATTGTTATTTCCAGGAACATTCGCCATGTTTGACTACGGTTCGACTTCCTTAAACAACCAGTTTTACTCGCAGGACCACCCCCCTCCTTACCCTTTGGAGCGAGTTACAGCTCCAGTCGCTCTGTTTTATGGAGACAGCGATGCTTTTGTGGATGAATTTGTAAGTAGATTTTAGTTGTGTAAGGCTATCAAAGCCATTCGAGTAACATTAAAGATGTACTCATTCTTTAATTTTCTGATGAACCAATACAGGTTGAACTTTATGTATGATTGTAGACAATCTAGAAGGTTATTCAAGTGATCTTTACTCATTGCTTATTGCAAGTAGTGAAACGTCCGATGATAGATTTCAGCTCTACAGTTTTATACCCTAGAATTTCCTACGAAGGATTGACATAGATGACGTCTAGATCGTGAGACATCTGTCATTGAAACTTGTTTTGAAATCCCCCCAACCACTATTTTTTTAGCTGTGTGATATTCCGTGGCTAAGTTCTACAGGACATCTGTAGTTGCTGGCCCACTTATCTAGAAAACAAGAAAAAATATTAGTCCCTGAAGACAAAGAAAATGTTTTACATATTTGAGAAATACTGCTTCAACAATGTGAATGATAATTTATCTATTTTGTGTCAAAATGGAGATAATGTAATTAATAACATGTAGGTTAATAGTTAATAAGTTCTTAGTGTAAACAGTATTTTCAGGCAGGAAAAGAAGTACTGTATGTTGTTTGGTGATGTAAATATTGCACCGGGTTCTTGCTGTAATGTATATATAGTCATGGTATACAGTACAGGTAAAAATGTGTTAATTTAGATTTTATTAACTTCATGGCTTTGTTACAGTCCATCAGTCAACTTAAGAATCGTCTTCCCAATGTCGTCACGTCAGTCGCCCTACCCAAGTATAACCACATCGACCCCCTGTTTGCGGAAAGTTCTCCGAAACTACTGTACAAGAAAATAGTCAAGCTATTTGATAAGTCGTAGATAATTTATACAGCTTTTATACGTATTGATTGTAACTAAGAAAAATAGCAGTTGACTGCTAGACTTAGACACAGCGAACTCTTGATAATCCGATACATACCTAACCAACAGCCATAATTCTACAAATAGTTAATTTTTAATGAAGAAAAAAACGAATAAACTTTTGTAACTGTGCAGACATTGACCAATGATTTAGCCGTGTGTGTTTGATTATTGAGAGTGTGGAGTTAACACGTTGAGTGCGGCATACCTTAAAACAGGCGCTCGCCAATGGCGGCGAGGCGCGGGCGAAGCCCCGACGCGGCACCAAAACATCAAACACAATTGGCATTCAAATATTTCAATCAGACGAATAACAAAAGAGCAGCGGTGATTGTACTGCGTTACCCCGAGAGTGGACGTAGTTCACTGAAACACCCAAAGGTAGCAGCACTGCCTGGGTCAGTAGTCAGTGTCTTTGTAATGTGGCTTGAAGAGAGAAAATCCTCGAAACCGGGACAAAAGCATTTTCAGACGGGATTTTACGGGAAATTTTAGTTCCAACCTACACCAAAACAAAGCTCAAAATCTAAGCTACAGACTAGCAACGATTATAACGTTCCCCGGCAATAGCTGAGCTCATACTGAACTAATGTTGTGGGTGTGGCGCGACTACATCAATTGATGTAGGCCGATAGGAGCGCTAGTGGCGCGACTACATCAATTGATGTAGGCCGATAGGAGCGCTCAGCACTCAACGTGTTAAAGAGTATGTTGGATTATCGAGTGTGTCGCATTATCTAGTGACAGCTGTAAATATTTTAGATTTTAAAATGGTATGTGCTTTAAGCACTCTTATACCCATTGATTAAGTATAATAATTACATAAAATGTAATGCAATAGGACAAGCTGAATCCCAGTGGCTAAATTTTGTATGATGGGTTTTTAATGAACAACTAAGACTAAGATTAACGATTTTCTAACAGTAAAACAACTAACTGTCCAGTGTAGGGGTTATTGTAATATTTCGATGAATTTTATAACCAATCATGTCTTCCATTTTTCATAGCTTCTTGGCATAAAAAGTTGTGACAGTTTAAAGTGGTTTGAAAGCTAATACATCTTTCAAACCACTTTAAAACTCTCCATTAGTTGTAGTTGTAATTCGTGTGATATTTTTTAAATTTAAATTATCTAAAGTGCAAAATCTAGTTAATTACCCCTGTTAGTTAGTTGCCCCTGTAGTTGAGTTACTACGCTAAATATATGTCTGTGATCAAAACTTTACCTTAAGAATTGTATAGTAGGTGTAGCTGTAGTGAAATAAGTAGTTTCTAGATATTTAGTGGCATTTTAGATTCGGGTTTTGACTCAGTAGTTTCTTAACAATTATTATAAAAATTTAGGGCAAAATTTGTAGAAATACGCTTCCCCTATTCCCTAACCTAGCCAAACAATTATTTTTTAATTAATTGATAATAGCAATCCTATAAGGATTTGTAATAGGATTGCTAAGGTAAGACCTTACAATCATTAATTATATATAAACAATCTAGAGGCTAAAATTATTGAATTATTTTTTAGTTGTTGTAAAAAGTTGATCAATTTACAATTTAGGAAAATTGCTTTGTTTTAGTATCATATTAGATAAAAAATACAAAACAACAATCCCTCAACAAGGACATCAAATCTAATAACTTAAACTGAAATTTTACAGAAATAATTTAATATTTTAGTCTCTTTATACTACTGTATTTTATTAATATGATTTGGATTTGTCATCAGTGTATGTTTAGAAGGGTCATGTTAATGTTGAAATGACAATATATTATTCTCTCTTACATGTGGTTTTTACTTTCTCATTTTGGCCTTTATACATAGTACCACTGTGGATGAAGTATTGTTTGTAAAAATTTTTTAAATCCTAGTTTTGGCTAGAAATATCTGTTTTGGGTCCCCCTGGAACACAAAATGTGGTTTTCGATGTCTGTGTTGTTTATGTGGGGATGTGTGACAGCCTGTGGTCCTGTGGTCCGATTTTGATGAAATTTTGTACGTACTAATCCATGATGTTCAAGATTTTTAATTTTTGGAAATTTTAAATTAGGATAAAAAAAAACATAAAAAACAATGAAATCAAATTTTTACATAAATGACTCATACTATTTTGAATAAAATTTAGTAGGCTATGTACTTTTAACTCCAATCAAAATTGTATGACCCATGATGGTGTAAAAATCCCATTCATAGTTTTCCTTCCGCCTACTATAATAGTTGCTTTACCTTAAACAAGTAGCAGGATATGTAATTTTAATGTAATGGTAATGGGAGAAATTATCATAATGTGCAGTTTGATGGCACCGTTTATTTTATTTACTGACTAGCTGTACCCGCGGGCTTTGCCCCGTTTGAACTTCATAAGTGAGCTCGTTCGCATGGCTCAATCACGTCCTGGTTGAAGTTCGTTCGCTACGCTCAATCACTTTTAGGTTGGAGCTCGTTCGCTACGCTAACTCGCCTTTTGGTTGCAAATTAGCTGTTGTCATAAATGTAAAAGAAATAATAGTGCTGCACCCTGTTGGTAATCCTTGTAACTTTAATCCTATTGAACATCATAGAACAGAACCAACTTGTTTAATTAAAACAGCTGTTAAGATTCATTAATTCCATTTAAATATGAGTAGTCATAAGGTTAACATGGGAAACTCCAGAGCCACTGGGGCGGAGCCCGAGAGTCCGATCAGAATAAAAACAGCTTAGTTTTCCTATTTAATGCCTAAAGAATCAGTGTACCAAATTTCAGCCTCCTAGGTAAATGGGAAGTAAGAGACTTAGTGATGAGTGAGTAAGTCAGTCAGTCAGTCAGTGAGGGCTTTGCCTTTTATATATATAGATAAACCATTGACGAGTTTTGTGTTGCATAAGATTCATATTTGCCATAAGACTGCATCTTATGGCTTTTATCTTGTACTTTTTCTGTAAGCTATGCACAGTTAGGTTCATTGCAACTTAAGGGTGCGCTCTACCCCTGCCTTTCAAGTAAACGCAAGAATCTTGGGCAACAGTGTTTCCGAAAGAAACATTTCAGTAGAATCAAAGTTAAGGTGTCATTTTAAAGAGGATTAAATGGTCCAAAATATGGTGGTTTCAATACGTTTACTATCGTACCATAAGCCTGAAAATCTTTTGAATGTAGCCTAAAAATGACAATTTTAAACTGCTGCAGCTTATTATAGAATCATTACTTTAAAATTCTGAAACCCGGATTGCAAAGGTTGTTCCTTGTTCTTGAAAACCCCGTTTATTGTTTTCACTCGCATGTATAGGTAGCTTACAAAGGCAGTTGCCGTGGACCTCTGCAACTAGCAAATTTGAATCTGTAACGTATCGTACCTACCGAATGCAACATCGTACTGAGAAATCTGAGCTGAGGAAGAGCACACCCTTAATATTTCAGTAAAAATTGAAAACTGGTTTTGTTGGGTTTACAGAGTAAAATATACCCTCTACATACATAAAATTCAATTATATAAAATATGACGGTAAATGTCAGTAAAATGTCGTGCAAAACACTTCATTTTAATCGTGAGTTTTTTGTTAGCAGTAAAACCTTCAAACAATGGTGTAAAATTTTGATGGTCGCTCTTTTTGTCAAATTCCTCTATTTAAATTTAATTAAGTAAATTGTTTTCTGTAATATTATGTTTAAGAAATATTAGTCTGAAATATAATTTTAAAAACTTTGAATACCCGTTTGATTGTTATTTTGACACCTGCGCCCAATGATAATCAAATAAGCAAAATTAGTGTTGATTTTTTCTCAAAAACACTTAGTTTGACGTTTAAAGTAAATTTTATTTAATACATTATACCCCATGGTGGTGGGGTTCTTAAAAAGCCCTTTGTCAAAACAGTACTAAAACATTGAAAATAATTAGGCCCTACATTAAAAAGAACTATTCCTTGCTTCTAGGCTCTCTGAAATTGTTACCAGATAACAAATGAATACGCAATAAAATGTCAATAGATTGTCTTTAATTGAATATTCATATATACAAAATCTTAATATAACATTCATAAACCTAGATCTTAGTGAACTGTTCGGAAGCACCATCACTAACATCTCATACATCGTAACACATTAAACATCTCCTACTTTCCAAACATTTTATATACGATTTATTTATTGCTTATTATTTTCAATAGTCCAATACTCCCTAATATTGTCATAGTATTCTATGTAAGAATACTTATTTTTAGGAACAACACTTCCAAAATAAAATCAAAACCCAAGGCTTTATTGGTGTTGATTGCTAAAACGAATTGCGGTAAGCTAATTTAGGCTATTCCAGATTATAAATTACCATTAAATATTGTTTTTCCTTTAAATCTTTGGTAAAACTTTTAAATTATACACAATAATAAAATACATAAAAAAGTGATGCAAAAAGCTCAAATATCCTTGACGGATATTTCAAAACAACTTAATCTAAGTACAATGATTAAATCATCATAGTGCACAGAGTTTTAAAGTTTATAAAATTTACAAAACTTTTAAAACACTGTTAACAATACATACCAACGGGGAATTTGCGATTGGAATGTAAGGTTAAAGGTTATAGTCATCGAGCACATTTAAGGCAAACAACGCTTAACGATGTGATAAAAAAATTACTATAAACTAAACAAGTCAATTATAACAATCTACTATATTTACAATAAACTTATAAACGGATACAATACAAACGAGTTTGATATGGCTTAAGTACACGGAATGTAGACGTTTAAACATACATTTGGAGCTTATGTTCCAAGTGTTCAGGAATGTTATCAGAGATAAGTTCTAGATAGGTTTAAATACATAGACAGTTAGTTTTAAATGCACAAATATTACACTTTTATAAAATGATAAAAGTACCAGCCCATTGAAAGCATCAAAACTAAGATTAAACAATATTAGTATTTTATCAAGTAGTAGTACAAGTAATTATCAAATTTTTTTCTAAGTTTTTGAATTTTATACTATGAACATAACTTCAAAAATGTCAAGATTAAAAAATTGAATTACAATAAATACTCTTACAAGCCACAAAAAGTTATTAGTAGGCAGTAAAAAAACAAGTGCAAAATTCTTTTCTTCAGTTTTAATAGAAATGGTTGTATTTTTATTGCAAAACATTATAAGGGGAAAACTTCCCTTGATCATCATGTGATATTACAAAGAAGGCAAACAGGCAAATTTTACTACTTTAGTGAATAAATGTATTTTGGTCCTTCAATAGTTGATTTGTACTCAAGGGTAAAGAAACAGGAAACATGTTATGGAGCTGTTTTACATTGTTTTAGTCCTGATACTCAGTAGCCTATTAAGAATATAGGTAGTGAAAATACATTATATTTCCAGTTACCTGAGGAATGTAACCTGCTCGCCAACTGGCTTTGGACTTTGGGTGAACGTGACTTAAGCACGATTGATATACAAAAATAATAAAAGTATAATATTAACACCTGCATAAAGCATACCAGTTTAACAGTGAAGTTAAGTTGTTACCCTGCAGTTAACATTGTTAAGTAAAAAAGTATACATTGCTTTACAGATTCTACAGAGAAGCTTAATCTTTAGGCATCAAGTGAGTAAAAACGTTAAACTTGAACAACAATGAATAATGCAACAATTTGGAATGATTAAAATGTTTTAAATAATCTAAAAAAATTAACAAATCACAAGACAGAAACAATGTTTACATACAATTGCGGAACTTTTTAGAGGTTTCTCAAATTTGAGAATGAAGTAGGCACCATTAGTAATAGGCACTCTGGGACGGTGCAGGTTAAGTCAACAATTTAAACTTAAACTATGGGCCAATTCCAATTTCTCAAAACTTTGATGCTGGGAGTTTTACGGAATATTCGATTCTCGATACTTCATAACATTCTACTGCCCGCAATAACAACAAAATTGTGAAATTTAAATTTGGTATCGGTATCGGAAATATTTACATGATTCTCATCCCAAAATTGGCCAAACGATTAAATTGCTACCAGAAAAAAGGGATTACTAATTTCTTGAAATTTTGAATTACAGTCACTGTTTAAGTTTTAGAGTCAAAGACTTTTTGGAACTAGCCCATTCATATGCTGAAATATTTTGAATTGCATACCATCCTAGCAGTTACTTTAGATTATACAAAGATTATCCTGAATTGGCTACAACCTACAAATTTGAAATGTTAACAGATATGCTTACTAAAATTACTCCTAGACGTAAGATATTTAACTTAAATAAACACAAAATGGTTTTTTAACGGATTTAGGCCAGCCATCTATGATCTTTTAACTAGAGTGTACCAAATCTGCCTCCAATGATAGAGAAAATAGAGAAAACTATTGTAAATAAAATCCGACATCCATTCTATAACAAATTTTTGCAAATATATTTTAGAAAAACAAATTATTGTATTCTAATGCATTACATCAGGATAGCAATAGAGCACATTGACCAGACAAATGCAGGGTTAAATTCATAACATATAATGTTGGAATACAAACATATAAATGGAATGTTATCGTATATAAAAAGTACAAAGCTCATTTGGACATTTAAATACTATAGTTCGGCCGCTTAGAAAACGACCTGCGTGCTAATGCTAAACCAATGCTGGAGGAGGTCGCTTTCTAAGCGGCCGAACTATAGTAAATATCTTTAAAAATCTACAGATAGAGTATAGAGTAATGAAGTTTAAAAACAAACTGTTTTTTAAATTCAACATACAAAAAATCGCAAATATCTTAACTGATATACAAAAAACACATTAACGAGTTGTCATTGAGAACATTTACCTCTGATAGATTATACATAACAAACATAACTTTAAGTACAACGTATAAAAAATACTGTATAAAGTAATTAAATAATTTAACATAAACAAATTTACTAAGTAGGCCTAATGGTTTACCCTAATAATACTTTCTCACATAAAAAGTAATTATAAATGTTTTAAATTGAACACGGGTAACTCAGTGTTACAATTTTAATAAAAAGATAATCTCACATTTATGTTTATGTTTCGAATGCAATATTTGTGATGATTACTGACTAGGACCAAGTTTTAAAAGTTTAAAGAATAATAAGATATTATTAAAATTGATTAAACAAGTAATTAATGAGAATGTTAAAAGATTTTAAAAACCAATACTTGTTTAGTGAATTTATATTATTTTATAACTAATAGAAAGGTATAAACTAGTAGTAAAGGATTTAATATTGAGTATTTTTTTTAAAATGTGTACAAGATAAGAGGGAAAATGTATTTTGCAATTTAAGAGGGAAAAATTTGTATTCAATTTGATTGGCTCAATCAATACTTCAACTCTGTTTTGCATTCATTTTAGAAACATTATATCATGTTTTTAAAAGATAAGATTGCCTCCTAAAATATAAGCATTGAACAAAACTTTATTTGATAGAAATCCCAACTGCTTCCGATTCAAAATTTTTTTTATATGCTTTAAAAAATCTCTGAAACTAACAGTTTAGCCTACAACTCCTATCAAAATTTCTGAAACTATGTGAGAAAGTTAGTTAAGTAATACAAAAATATGAAAATAAGAACATCTTAACTTATCGACCTAAGTCTAAACGCAATAGGTACGGGGACAATCCATTCTCACAGGGTACATATCAAAACACGAGTCCAACACGACTTAGCGATATCAGACGATTCATCAGTAAAAAATAACGATTATTGTGGAATAAAATAATATCAATAAGTCTGCACAGGTGAACTAGAGTTTGTGCACAAAGGATAGGATGTGCAAAATACTGGGTCTGGACGGTTTTATATATAGTCTCTGGTTTCATAAACCACTAAGTAGCTTGGTTAAGTAGTGTCTTGGTCACTAACATGGCGACTGTGTTGATCGGGAGAGTGGACGAGACACAAGACTACCTCGGTTGAAATCTGTTGTCGAATATGAGACAACAGGTATACTCGTCTTAAACTTCTTCGCTTGTATCAAGATTTTTTTTAAATTGTTTTGTGAATCGTTTAATAATTGCACTAAGAGATATGGCTTTAAACCAAATATAAATTATTACATATTTTTAAAATAACTTGGCGACCTCAAGCCTGTGTATAGAGTGTGTCAATCAAAGCTTTATAAACTTTGTATATTGAGATTTGTGATTTAGGAAACCATAATTAATATGGTAGAATTTTGAAAATTAAAAACAATTTTGACATCAAAAAGCTGAAAGCAAAAATTTACACAGAATCATAGAAGTTTGGTACCATGAAGGTATATTGCCCTTGATCCTTTGAGCAAAACCAGGTATGATTTTTCAAGACATTTTTACTAAAACCTTTTTTTATCAAATGAACTATGAATAATGTGTTCCTTCTGTTGAACACATTCAAGTGTTTTAAGCACAAATTGGTGAATTCTACCAGTTAATATTTCCACTACCCTGACTCGTCCACTCTCCGCCCTAACACTCGTCACCATGACACATGTTGCCATGACTACAGATGCAGTACTGTGGGTGTTTCCGCACTCATGAGGTCGACCACCTCGTCACGGTCGTACGTATCGTCGTCAGAGCCCGTGGTCGTAGCGGACTGCGCCGATTGTTGCGACCCTGACGAAAGTTGAGAGTTGCGGCTGAACGAGCCTCGTCGTGGCGCAACTGTCCGCTGATTCGCTGGCTTCACCGTGATTATAAGGTTCCAGCTGTTCGCCACCATCATGTCCGTCACCTGTAATGAGATATGTATTTTATTTATTATAGTTAAGTCAGAAACAGTAGGTTTACCTTTGTGCATGAGCTTACCTTGATTCATAGACATGTAGGCTTGCTTTTCACTTTACAATATTGATTACAAATCTAAGCCTAGAGCCTTTTACTTAAAATATTCCACTCCAGAGAATATGTTAATTGTGGGATTATTGATGCCATTTTCTATCACAATTAGTAAAAACAAATTTTCACAACATTTCGGGATCTGGTATCTGATCTCATCCTCAGTAAGAAATTACCTGATACAGAACAAACAATATTAGTACATAAACCCAGCTAAAACTGGAAAAAGAATATCATGGTGGACAAAACCAGAAAAAAATGTTGGGATAAAATAACATAAATGAAAATAGAGGATAGACAAACATGAAAGGAGATTATGGCTACAATTATGATATTGGATCTCTCACCTGATCCAGAGTTTTGCCTGCGACCTCGATGCCGTTGACCTCTATCACTTCATCATTGACAGCCAGAAGTCCCGTGCTCTCTGCTAAGCCCCCAGGTACCAGCCTGGAGATGAATATACCCGGCACCTACAAACATCAGACCACTAAATGTACCATTGTAAGGAAAGAAGTTGGCCTATACTGTCTTTATTAAAAAACGGTTATGTTTGTAATCTTAGTTTATAGTACAATCTAATATAAAAACAATAGGAATTATTTTGAGCAATTATTTATTGACAAGTTACAGATTTAGGATAAGTATTACAAAAGCTTCACTGGCGTCTTCTCCCGCAATAACAAGTTCTTAGGTGTCTGAATGTCCATCTAAATCTGCAGTAAACCTGCAATTCTAAATGAATTTAATTGATAGTTGCTTTATTGAATTTTTATCCAGACAGGTTCACGATAAAACAAAATTTACAGTTAGATCCTAGCATAATACAAATAACATTATGATGCCTACTAAGGTTTGCTCCTACAAGAAACAGGCGGATGTAAGTTATGTTTACTTTATTTTAAAAGCTAACCATGGGGTAAGGAAGTCAGAAATATGTTTTAAAGATTAAGTAAGTAATCTAGGTTCATTCATAAATTGATTAAACTTCAAGGAGGGTACATCAGCCTAGGTCATACCATGATGACTACAATAGCTACAACCTAATAGGGTAATTTGATGAAAACAATCAATTTCTTACGGCATGAAAAACCTTATTGGATACCTCCGTCTGTGCACAGTAACTGACCTTCTCCAGTCCAGAGGGAGTGACTCGTACGCTGGTGCCGTCCCTGATGTAGAAACCAAGTGGCCGATCTGAGCCATGCTTGAGTAACCTCACCCTCCTCTGTGTGTCTGGCACTATGTCTACGTCTATGATGGACGATACCTTTTAAACAATCACAAGATAAATAACTAGGCTAAATAAATAAACGGTGTAAAATCTGGAGGGTAATATTCTTACGATCTTTCAAAATAAGTTTTTTTTGCTCCTGCTAACGGAGTGTGAATGCTGGAAGTGGTAACATCACCGTAGTGGGGATGACTAGTTCTGTACCCTGCCACCAGAGGTGATACGAGAGCGCTGCTGGAGAAGCGCTCTAAGCAGTCAGTTGTCTGTCAGCCATTTACATAACAATCCAAGCCCTGGTTAGTCCAGAAAATCCTTATTTGCCCATATATTTTGATCCCAGATAGCTTAAAAAGTTGTATTAATGTTTTATTATTGTATTTTTGTCCTTTATACATTATCTGGGTACATTTGTGCTCAAAGTGATAAGCGTAGATATCTTAACGGGCACTTTCGCATTTACTAAGTACTCTAAACAATTTTAATAAAGTAGATATCACATTTATTAAAAAAAAATCTATTAAAAATTAATTTAAGTTATAATATTTTTACCTGTCTAAAGTCATGAGGATTTGAGATACACAAAGCTTTCCCTTTGCCAGGTGTTCCTCCTAGTATTGAAGATATGAGGTTCTTGTGTTTGAACGTTCCATAGCCAATGACATCTTCTAAGCTGTCACCTAAATAAAATAAGAGAAATGACATTAGCAACATTATAGGTTACAGGGTCAGTTTGCTACAAATTCGTAACTGTGGATTCCATCTTTCTAGAATAAAACATCTGTTTTGTTTCAAGACTAAGGGATGTGTGATCTAATTTTGATCAAAACAAATAGTAAAAATAGGCTAAATTTCAAAAAGTAGTTCTTAACTAGAAACATCAACTCAGATAACCATTTAGGATAACCATAGTATGTTTTGGTACCTATTTTGAAAAATTAAAAGTTTCTATATGTAGCTACTTCTTCTGATGTTCCAAATGAAATGAAATCATAGAGGATCAAGTAATCTATTTTCAGAGTCTTACTTTGAGGACCATTTACATCAGTCGTTGTTCAGTACTAAAATTATTTTTTCTCAACAAATTTGTCATAAAAAGAAGAACCAAATTTGGTACACTCATTCTTTAGGCATTAAATAGGAAAACTAAGTACTTTTTTTCTGATCTGACCTTCTTGCAATTCCCAATTGATAAAAAGACCAATTATTCTATTAAATCTAATTGAAGAGAATGTTTTCCTATAAAACTTGCACCATTAATGCCTCATTAAATCATTAATGATTTCCAATTTTTTTAATTTTTGATTCATAATTGTCACTTATTTATGCTTTTTTAAATTAGTGCCTCATTTAAGAAGACAGCATTCCATTCCCATTCACAAATTACTCAACCTATCAATTTCCCTGTAAAAACTTAACCTAACTAATATATTCAACACCAAAACAGCAGTAAAAATATTAATTTACAATCCAAAAAACTCCTTGACATTAAGCAGGTTGTCCAACCAGATGATTAAAATATTCCCACTCTACACGGAGGCCACAATAGGCTTTGTGTTTTATTCCCACACTTGACATTGGCTCAAGTTTACTATGTTGATCTCCATATCATGATAAGACACCACTGATACAACAGGCTCATGCTTCATTTCTACATCTCTCTACACTAACTTTGTCAACTCTTAGTAAAACATATGGGAAAAACTAGTTTAAATTAAATCAAACATATTGAACTAGGGTGGATTTTTTAATTTAAAAACAGAATTAAGTTAAAAAATTCAATTTCAAAACTCAAATCCCCAGAATGACTGGTTATGGTTATGAAAAATTCCAAGTTGCAGTTCCAATGCTACAAATGTTATGTTTTCATTTGTCAAAAAACGTGGACAAAATGTTTCCAAGCACTTCAAATTTAGCTCAGGATAATCCTGCACAATTTTAGATATCGAAGAAAAATGTTCATAGAGAAGGCCAATCTATTTGAATAGTTTATTAAATCTGCTGATCACGGCAAACCCAGAAAATCAATATATTTGTTGGACCTGAAAGAATATTAAAATGGATCTGGAGAAAAATAAAACAATTTTATATTTTGTACCAAAGTTTGAAAACCGCCCCAAGAATTGAATATCTTCAAATAGTAAAATCTGCTGAACAAAGTAAACATGCTTTGCTAATATCTTTATTGTAGGGATTTATAGTTAAGGGGCGAAATTATAGAAGAGCACACACATAAAAGAGCATTACTTTGGACCAAGGAATATTAAGGTTTTTACTAGAGTAAATTGAGATTAGTCTGTAAAGTACTACTTTTTATATGACTAACAAAATAAATATTCCCTCCCCAAAATACTTCAACTTGGTGTCCACTTTATTTTACTGTGGGCAAGTACCAGCTATCGTTTGGGAAAAATTAATTTCCGTCCAAAACAAAAACCTAGATTGTTGAATCAATTACTACGAGAAGTACTACTGAGCATTCTGAGCAATTGCAAGGTTCATAGAGCAAATACCGAGAACAAAGAAATGTTACAGTCAACAGTTGAGTAACATGTGAGTTATTATAGTAGGATGACTCATCTTGATATCAGCTGGAATAAAACTCACACCTGATCATATACACTACACAGCATTCCATGACTAATGTTTTGATTATTTGAACAGAGAAAAATACCAGCAGAATATCTTTGATGTTACCTTCAAATTTATTCCATTAGTTAACTTAATATTTGATAAACCCTATAGGCGTATATTACAATTAGGTTCAGTTTAGAAAAATATGACAACATCTTAAATGTTTTATGTGCGTAGAAATGTTTCTCAAATTGAAAAAATCCACGATGATTGTTAATTTAAATTTTTTCACAAATTAATAAAAACATGCATTTTAATTATTTTACATCCAATCTTATATAATAATTCTCAATAAGTTTTGTTTGGTCCTTAGCTTTAAAAGCTAACCACAAGTAATATTAATTTAATATCCCAATCGGATCACAATTTGAAAACAAAATAACTTTCATTTATTAAAACGATGCCAAAATTACCTGTAAAGTATACAGTGCGAGTTCAAGTGTTTGTTAACATATATTTCAACAAAATTGAATAAATTAATCCACGGAACATCCTAAAATCTTTTGTATAACTGCACAACTATTCCATCAGGAACTCTTAGCCATTATTTATTTAACCAATGACACTTTTGCTGTCTAAACATAAAATTAGTCTCCTCATTGTTTATTTTTGATCAATGAAGCAACGATTGATAACCAATGAGTAATCTGACCTTGACCCACTAATTGACATGCTCAGAGAATACAAATGATACACAATACACAATACACAATACACAATACACATTGCCGTATTAAAATAAAATCCACGTTAATTTATATTCCTTAGTCTTTGATACAGAAAAAATATGCCTACCGGTATCTCTTCTGGTATACTACTATATATTTTCAAAAGTAAAACTCTTTATAATGTTTTCAAGCAATTTATTTTAATGTGATCTGTATTAAATAATAATATTCAACATACTTATCTGATTTTCATTTTCTAACACACAAACAGAGCAAAAAAATAGTTTGGATAGTACTGTTTTGAGCTATGTTTGTTACAATCAGTAACCTAATAATATTTCGAAAAAGTCTATGATAAAATTTAGGGGTCTGCAGGCCAGACTTTTATACTTTTAGTGGGGTCTAGTCAAACATTTAGGCCTACGGGTCTCAGGCCAAGGAATTAATTATAATACTTACAATAGGTTTTTAGCATATTATTGTACATGGATTTCCCCTTATTGAGGTGGAACTGGGAAAATTTTCTGCAGTCAAGACAAAATAGAGAAATTCTATCTAAATTCTATTCTAGGTCGTGGTCACAACAGAATATTGAACTTTCACAATCACAGAGAAAATCGGCAATTTTAGACCGTTCTAGCGAATAGACAAATAAAAGCTCGGCTTGAACTGCCCAGAGTTTGACCCAAAAATTAGTACCGTCCCAAACCGATCCCTCTTGCCGACGGCACAGAGAAGTAAGATACAGAGGATACATTCAACGGTACACTGAAGTGGTGTCTAGCACCAGTCGCTGGTGTCTAGAGAAAATTCTTTTTGTAATTCCCTTCTGCTCTCCTTCCCCCCTCCTGCCATCACATACTACAGCGCTCACGTAGAAAGGGCCTGTGCACTACAGCTGCTGTACTTGTACAAAAATGCTATGTAGCCATCACTGTTAAGGCTCTTCCTTGTTCGGGACAAGTACATTCCATCCCACCATACCAGAGCTTCAAGCGCAGAGTTGTCCCATAAGCTTGTATTCTCTGTATCTTACTTCTCTGTCTGTGGTGATGGTTGGCCTGACCTAACCTAAAAGCATCGAGTACCTGCAGACCCCTCAATAAAAAAAAGAAATCTGACATAATCAAATGGATATCAGTTAACTATAATAGATCTAAAATGTCAAATATGGCACTAAAAATCAAATAAACTACAACAATTTTCTAGTTGGCACCTGATCATCTACATGAAAAAACAACAAAAAAGTGGGATCTAAGAACGATTTAATCGGTAGAAAACAATAATCGGGGCGAGGGGAGAGATTGTGACGTTAGAACTTACGATAGCAGGCGACAAAGTTAAAGTTTGTTTTGTGACCGAGTTGAGTCAACCAGTTGGGGCCGAGGAGTGGGGGAATCATTGGTTCGTCCATGAATCCTGCGTTGAAAGATAACCTTTGTGTTAAATTGAAACAAATGTTTAGTCCAAAATGTTTGAAGGGATACAATGGAAGGTATTATGAAACAAGAAAATTAGCTTTCTCTATATTACGTCCAAATAAATAATGAAGCTTATTCTGTTTTGGGTTAACTATGGTTAAGAAAATCATAATTTGTTTGAGAATTACTTCATTTGTTCGATACAAGAGATCTGGTTCACCCAATCTGAATCATGGTTGCACCTTGCACCAAAACTCAGCTTTAAGTCAAATATTCAAACTGGTTTATATTAGCATAGTAAAATAATAGAATAAATAATAGAAACAAAATTTTGTCTACACTAGCAATCAGTGTCGATGTAGCCTACATGAACTAGACACGAAAAACTAGCTTCAAAATTTACAATGGGATGAGAAGTCTAATATTAGAGAGAAAAAAACTGTTTATTTTACCCTATACCAAGCTGATATCAGAATATTAACCGTAAATAACTGAATATAAACTCCCATTAATGTTAATAAGCCAAGACCTATAACAATAAACGTCCATTTACTAGAGTTTTCACATTACAGTATAGTCAACAACAACAATTAAATTCATTCCATAGGCTTACGGCTTATACTTGATCAAAAACACAGCTAAAGTTGCCATGCATTATTGCTGCTCAAACACAAAAATTGCTTTCTAAGGTTAAAAATTACAAAATTTGTATCTAGAAAATATATTTAAATTTTACAGAAGGAGGAAGATTGATTCTGAAAGAAAAATGCAAGCTACATGAAGGAGTAGCTATGAACTTGAATTCATTGAATTGATCATCTACACTAATCCATTAGGCATACATTCCTGATCATCCATCACTTGATATCACTACTGTAAGTTAACACATTGAAGATAAAATATGGAAATAACGTTCCACCTGCGTTGTAAGTAAGAAGAAATCATTGAACAACAATTTCAGATTTAAAATACAGTAGAACCTCTTTAAACCGAACTAATTGGGACCGGGGGTAGTTCGGACTATTGAATAGTTCGGATTACGGAACATATTTTGATGTTTTTACATAACAATAGGTAGGGAAAAGTGAAAAATGCTTTATAAAGTAAAATACGGTGTTTATTTAGTAGTAGGCTACACATAGGGAATAAACAGTATCATACATTACAATTGAAATAATTACGGTGCGTACATCAATAAGTACAGTACCCAATAAAGAACTGCTGTACTGTGTATAGAGTACAGTAATGAGGCGTTCGGATTACTGGATGTTCGGATTATAGGGGGGTTCGGATTTAAAGAGGTTCTACTGTATAGCCTATGAAAGACTTGGATGGGATTTTTTCATTTATACTGTAAAAACTTTATATGTGATGTGGAAAGCGAATAGGGACCTCTTGTCCCTATATAGGCCTACAGTATTTGAATTCCTTATTAAAAATTCCGAATAACTTGGTGCAAGTCCCATGCTTTTACGATTTCTTTTTGTTAAAGTTATAGGACTTTGAAATTTTGCTACGGAAAAGGGTCATTTTGAGAAAAACTATTTTGAAATTTTGAAATTTCATATAATTACACATAAAAACAGTTTTTTTGTAAGAAAACTGTTGGTATCAAAAGAAAGCTTATAAATTACCTCTTTCGAAGCAATACCAATTGTTGTCTTAACTCAGGGTAGATTTCATTTAAATAATTGTTTTATCAAAGCATGTCGTAAAAATCACAATTCAGAAAAGATACATCTTGTCGGCCCTAGATGTTATTTCTCCATAAGAAATAAAAAAGTACCTCTTGTCGGGACCGGAAATTTTGAAAGATAACAATCGATAAAAACCGAATTTAGATATTTTTGACCTTAATTAAGGTCTACTTATATTGGCCATACTGAAAATTTTGCATCGCCGACAAGACATCCCTTTTCGCTTTCCACATCACATATATTTAATATTGGATTGAAAATGAACAATTTTCGTTGTTACCAAACAAAAAGTATGTTATTTAAACAGAAGCTAAATTAACTAGACCTAGCACAATGCATCATCTAAAACAGTAGAACCACCAACTGCTTCTTGATTCATACAACTTATGTAGCCTATTTACATAAAGAGACATTTTTATGCTGCCGACATTGAAGCAAAATGTAAAACTAACATCAGACGGAACACTATCTGTAAAAAGCTCAGCGAACGAAAGATACCACATTTCAGCCAAAGCCTTGCATACAAAAGGATTAAAACTTTCTCGGTACCTAGATAGAAGTCTTGATTTTCAACTGAGACTCGTCAAAATCTTTTAAAATAACGCTGGAGTCTATATTCTATCCGGCTCAAGTATTTATCAATATTTTTCTAGGTCAGTTCTGTAATTAAAAAAATCCATTCGCACAGTCTTTAAACACAAGCACAAGTTTAAAAATATCACAATGTAGTTAAATCTAAAATGAAATATAAGGAATCTGAGGTCTGAGGTGGTGAAACAATTTAAATGACAGCGTTGTTACAGACTAAAATAAGGTTGTTAAAAGAAGATAATTTATTCCAGAAATAAGAGTTAAAAGGCCAAGGCATGTAGGCCTATATACCGGTACCTAAAACACGAGACCTATTTAAGTGACTACACTGCACGTTGGTGGATTTGAGTGAAGACATTATCTACGGTACTTTAGTATTATACGAAGGCCACCCTTATACAGCACGCTGTGGCGGTTATGTTAGGTTGGGTTATCATAAATAGAAAGTATGACACATCTGGTATAGTTCGATTCATAACGAAACGAGGAAAGACCTACAAACATATTTATGATAACTCAACATAACTGCTGCAGCGCACTGTCAAATATGTGGCCTAAGCCCTACTTATAATAAGTACCTTTAAGTACCATTAAGTACCATATTATCTTCTCATAATCTACCAATGATGAACGAACAATTTGATATTCTTTTTTTATTCACAGTGGCTTTTAGGCATGAATGATAATAAAAAAATTTTAATAAGCAATCCTAAAAATTACAAAAACAAAATTAAAAATTTTTACTATAACTAAGCCAGACTGCTTATTTAGCCTAGATTTTCATTTACTTCTAGATAAGTGTTTAAGGTTAACACAAATTTAAATTGAGTGTCTTGACTATAAGCCTAAACCATGAACAACTTAAGTTAGGTTGTAAAATGATAAGAATCGGACACTCACCTTTCCTTTGTATAATGATTCTGAGTAGAGGCCTAGCGTTCTGCAGCGCTCTGGCCAGGTTGTCATCATTGTTGATCGGCAGCAAGTCTCCGTCCCGAGGGTCTGTGTAGGAGATGAGGAACACAACGTCTATCAGTTTATGCAGCTTCTCCAACAGTCCGTGGAACTCTTCATACTTCATACAAGTCCCCCTTGACAATGAGAACCTCCGAAAGTCTGAGTCAAACTGGAACAGACACAGATTTGTTTAATTTACACAAACGTAAATAAGGCACAAAGTCAATTGGATGGAATTCCGAACGGGCTTAGGTCTATCTTAAAAAACTCCCAGAAGAAATATCTTGTTAAAAAAAATCTAACTTCACAGCCAGAGTTCTTCTTCAGTCTAGATAAGAGGTGACAGGTCAATGTTTAAGTTACTTCCCAATGTTCATTAAAAATTACCTTTGTACTCTTGTATTTAAAAACGTAAGTTACCAAGAGTTTTAAATACCTGCAACTGGTCCAAAAATGTAGGTGTAAAGAATGTAAACCAACCTGACCAGCTACCTGCATAACACACTTTGTAAGGACTAACTTATAAAGAAAAATATCAAAATTATGCTAATAGCCTAATTGAAAAGTTAATAAGTTAACTTACTTCTACTAGGACTCATGAATACCTACCATCAGAACTGCAGCCTTTGGTATTTTTCAAGTTAAAGAAAAATGTTAGGTTTATTCATGGCTTTAACATGCTTTAACTCATCCATTTTGATTGCATATGAATGTTGATCTGAGGTAGGCTAACTTAATAAAATATAAACAGACTTCAAGTTAATAAGAGACAAAGCGAAAGCGGCCTTTAGTTTCCTCTAGGCCTAAGTCGGATTTTTTCAGCGATGATTTTAAGGTTCGGTAAAGTAGGTTAGTATTCTATGAATTTGGTGTGAGTAGGCTACTAATCATTTACTTAACTACCGATACATAGGGGCATAAGTCCGTTAAAAAAATACGATTAAACTTAGTGTGCAACTCTTCAGCCTAAGTTGACATCAGATCTTACTAAACTTTCAGTTACACTGGGAGTTAGGCTGCACTTTACTTGACGTCCTACACTCATTCGATTGTTTTTTCGATTCGATATTTTCATTCGATTGTTTCATTCGATATTTCGTTTGGTTAGTTAGGGTAGGTTAACCTTACCTAACTAACCAAACGATATATCGAATGAAGCAATCGATATATCGATCGATATTTTCATTCGAACGAGTGTAGGACGTCAAGTAAAGTGCAGCCGGGAGTTAGTTCAATGGTCTACTAAGACTGACAAATAGAGTAAGTTAGACCTAGGGCGGGTACAGTTTCTTAACTGGGCTACGCTAATATTGATTGAAAGTATCGAATTGAAAATATTGACAATTATCGATATTTTAAAATAGCCTATATCTAATTTAAAGTTAAACTACATAACCTAACCTAATTAACCAAACTTGCTGATTGATGGTGAAAAAATCGTGTGAAGGTTTACTAATTGAATCGATAGTTTCAATCAATATTAGTGTAGACCAGTTAAGAAACTGTACCCCCTAGGCCTAAGTTAACTAAGTAAAGGCAAATTTTGAGCAGAATAGTTTACGCTTAAAGTACGCGCAGCCCATTTCTAACACGCTAGAAACATCCAATTGTCGATTCTCCAGTCTCAACAACTACGATGAAGGGGACAGATGTAAGATTGTAGTCTTTAAAAATGCATGGCATAAGTTAGGTCCTATTCATAGGCTAACTTAAATTAACATTCAGATAGCCTAATGCCTAACTTGACTTAAGTTCGGTGTGTTAATTGAATTTGAAAAAAGCTAGGATTAGAAATACCATTTCAGAGTTCCTAGCTTTATTTGGATAAGTTACCCAAACGTTTCAAAACCTTAACCAAAACCAAGGCCTTATGCCAAAGAAAATGATTGCTAACCTAGGCAAGGCTTTGAGGGTAGGGCCATACCTTAGGTTAAGTTATTAGATTGGGTAACAAGCAAGAGAATTTAGAAAATGATACGATTAAGACAATCAAATGTGTAGCAGGTCATGGGTTTAAAAACATGCGTTCACAATAGCATCATCTAATCAGTCATCAAACAAAATATTGACATTATAGAGAAAAGGAATGTGGTAGGCAAAGTAATCTTACCTTGCTTTTCACTTCCACCGTGGTTCCGCTATCGACTTTAAAATGACTTTTTGAATGCCTTGACATTTCGACTACATTAATTATAACACTTTATCTATACAATCACTTCATTACCAAACACACAAAACACAAAATTAAATAAGGAACAAAAGCAATAAAAGTTGTCACAGCATATTTACGGAATTCGGAATTCCTCTTCGACTCGTCACTCGGCAGTCAATGAAATAATGACGTCACAATTCGTAACACCTGCTATCTGGGCATCGACCACTAAATTAGAAAAAAACACTGTGGCTCATACTATTATTAATGTGTAACGGACGAGTTTTCCTTTTTATAGCTGTGCTCAACTTTTAAGCAAAATCAATCAAAAAGATCACCAGTTCGATTCTTAAAGAAATCAAATCGTGTTTTGGTTTCACATAGAATTCGCTTTGATTCCTTTAAACCCCAGCTGATCTTAGAAGCGAGTCTATGATCTTATTTTTTAATTGTCATCCTTAACTACATATTTTTCCATTGAGCCATTGATTACACATCTCGAAATGTTAAACTATGTAACCTGAATCGGAATTGGACTTGTGTCCTAGTTTATTGGGCTTTGAAAAAATAAATGGTCGTGACTTAAGATCCAGCTAATCTTACAAGTTCAGTCAGTAACAAAGCTGTCACCTCATACATTCAACATTCATACTTCGCCTTAAAATATGTACCGTACTTTTATGTGTGCCTGCTTTGTATTATATACAAAAACTATCTTCATAACAGAATTACTGGGTTTCAGCTACCGCCTCCGTATCACGAGTCTCAAAACAAAAGGAACGGGGTTTTGGGCTCAACTCCACTCCACTACTCTTCAGCCCCCCTCTCCTCTTTGTTCATCTTCATCCCTCTCTGTCACTCCCTGATAATCTCTGTTCCTCTCTGCCCCTCTCTGTTCCATTGTCCCTCCCTCTGAACCTCATCTGCTCCTCTATAATATCTATCTCCCTGATTGTCCCTCTTAATTTTGGTATCATAACAATTTCCACTTTACCCTTCTTTTCATTTTGTGTCTTTGTCATGCAGCCTTGATTGTTATGGCTTATAGCAAAGATTGGGGATTCATAGACTAATGGTACAGAGAAGTACAGAGGAAATATGCTTATGAGAGGACCATGTGCTCTTTCAGCTCTGATATGTAGTGCTGGAAATATATTTTACAGTAGACACCCTCTTATCCGGACTCCTCGGGACTGAGGCCAGTCCGGATAACGGGTTTTCCGGTTAAACCGTTATAACTAAAAACTCGTTAAAACGGACCGTTTGCTGTGATATTCGACTTAAATTTAGGAGAGCATTGAATTTAGACACGTGATCACTATGGTCTCAAATCTTTCTCACGAGAACAGTCTTTTCAGTACCACCCACTTCCTGCCAATCTAGTCCGGTGAAACCAATGTGCTGATAAAAATTTTCCGATTAAAGAGATGTCATTTCCGCCAAGTGTAGTCTGATTAAACCGATGTCCGGTTAAAAGGTGTCCGGATAAGAGGGAGTCAGGGAGTCTACTGTAATTGCGATGAACAAGGAAGAGCCCGAATCGCGAGTACTGTGCAGAAATTCTTATCACACAGGGCATCCTGGTCTTCCACCACCATGGCACTCCACTACAATGGCATTATACATGAGAGCAAGGAGGTGATGGATTGGAATTTGCCTGGACACCAGCACTAGTGCTAGACACACCACTTAGGGGTACCGGTACTATATTAAATGTTTCCTCTGTACCTTACTACTTCTCTATGACTATGGTGTATCCTATTAAATTATTTCTGATAGAATAAGAAAAAGAAAGGGGAGTATTATCATAGATAAAACATACTCAAGGATAATCGTTGAATAGACAGATGTTTTTTGTGGGTAATTAATTGTATTACATCTTTGACTACAACTAGACATTCCATTCCCATGTTCAAGTTGTTGCCTGTTTTTAAAAATCAAAATCATCGTAGTTGATGTGAGCCCACCGACAGATTGCGCTGATCTAAATCACTGATTTCTGTTGAATACACAGACTTTTTAACAAAGTCAATCTAATCTTAGTTAGTGCATTCTGTGACTGGCTCACATAACTATGTTCTTTTTTTAATAAAAAACTTATCACAGCTGTCCCATATAGATGGGATGTCTACTCCAGTATCCAATAGTCAATCTTTGTATTTTAAAATACTATGGAATTTTCTGTTTAGTTGTTTTGATACCAGTTATGAAAATATATCCCTCCAAGCCTTTCAATTCCTTAAGACTGATAAACAAAATCTGCTATATGTCAAATGCAAGTGTGTGAACAACTTTTGAAAATAACAACAGAAAAATTCAAAACTTGTCGATAAACATGTTTGGTCTCATTGAGAGTTGGCTTTTTGACCAACTAGGAATAAATTGTAATCTTAAAAAAATTGAAGATGGAAATTTATTCCAGGATGGATGTGTTTTGGTAAAAATACTACAAAGCTATGGTTTGGTTGATGACAAGTTTAGTGGAATTATTCATTCTACCGTTGACAAAACAGTGTGTAAGAAGAACCTTAAACTCCTGAAGCCAATATTTGATATGTTAAAAATAAAATACGATGACACTATTATACATGGTGTTGCTGAAAATAAACCTGGAACAACTATCAACCTTCTTTATGAACTTTATACCTGTCTTGAAAACAAACAACACCTCTACTTTGTGACTAAGAACAACTTTGAAGAAGCCTGTCAAGAGAAAGTAAAGAATATTCAGGGGTTGTCGGTGAATACAAATCAACAAAAACCTGAAAAACATTCATCTTCAGATTTTTGCTTTGAACAACCCCTTATAAACAATGCAGATATTATAAATTGGTATAGAGACAAGTATAACAAGGTCAAACACAGCTTGAATGCAAAATTGAAGCAATCAAAAACACCAATAGCACAAAAAGGGAAGACCAATTTAGATGCAGCATGTGAACCATGTTTGTGGAAATCTAAGACGGATTCAGGAATGATTGAGAGTCTTCCTGAACTAAATGCCTATTCAAACAGCAGTGGAGACAAAAACCTCCTCGATTATAAAGACTTCATAGCAAAATACAAAATCAAACAAAATAACATAGCTGCAAGAAAAAGTTTAGAAAAGGCAATTCAATATGAACTATTGAAAAGTACGTGGAAAAAGATAGAGGAAAGTCAAGACAAAATTTACAGCTCAGTTTTGTCAGCTGTTTTACTAAAACAGTCAAACTACGAGAAACAGATACTATCAAAAGTTGTACAAGCTCAGAAAGAAGTTCAAGTTCAAAATGAAAATATAATATGGGCAAAACAGAGTGTTATAAATGAGCAGGAACAGAAAATATTCACAGACTTTGAACTAAAAGAAAGATTTGAAATGATGGAACAAAACTATTGGAATGAACGAAAGCGTGTCTTAGAACTGCATAAAAAGTTGTACAGAGAGAAAAAAGAAATCATTAAAAGGGATCATTACAACATTTGTAAGGAAACGGTTGACGCAATAGTAGAATTGGCCTTATCTGCCACTGAATACAAATTAAAGAATAATATGGAAGTTTCTAAAAGTTTGTGGAATAACTGGGTACAGCTATTTGTTAAGTCTTTGCCTGTACGATCCCAACTTCAGACTGTGGAGGATGGTATTTTGGAGGGTGAGGACGTTAACTACGATGAAGCAATATCTTTTGAGAAAGAACAGGATGAAATATTGAACGAAATTGAAATTGATGACTATTTATCGACAAGGGGGAGATGGTTTCACAGTGTTGTTCTCTTAGAACATGGAGATCCTAATGATAAGAATCTCGCAGCCATAGCTTATCGATTACTCTGCCTAAAATATCCTCTTCCTCCTTCCTCCCCACCACCTGATCTTCCTGAGTTTAAGGTAACTGGTGTCTTGCTTGATTTAAACAGCCCAAGCTCTATCGAAACTATAAAACTGCTTCTGAGCAAATCAAGAATTCATGTATTTGATACGGAATTGGCTGTAAAAAAGTGTATTGATCAGTGCAAAATTGAAACCCCACAACCTGTAGAAGGTAAACCCAATGACAAACCAAAAAATTCAAAAAACAAAACTATTGACGGTTCGAAACAGCTAAAGGGTAAAAAGAAGAAAGACAAGAAAATGTCTAAAAAAGACAAACTGAATGATGGGAAGATGGAGAATTTAGAATGCATTGAAGACATCATAAAGGTTGTCAATAAAGAAACTCAAACATCAATAATTTCTGTCAAGGAAGAGGAGACAACAAGAACTCCTTTAGGGTTACTCGGTGAACAGGTTAACAATAAATTGAAAGAGGGAAAAAATCTTGACGATTGTGATGTAGCTTCTATTATAGTTGAATATGTCAAAACACTGGAAGAATATGATGGGTGGCTGCTGTTAAATTACCCTACCACAATCGAACAAGCCTTTGGTCTAGAGCTGGCATTAACTGCCAAGAAAATACCAGCTGAACATTTTGATTCAGAAGTATTTAAACTTTTATCAGAAAAGGAGACTGATGAATTTAGCAATAGTAGAAAATCGAGACTTCTAGATTTACCAGATGAATCAGAGTCTCAACCATTTGAGTCATATTTCAAGGTATTTATCATGATCAGGGCTGAAGATAACGAAGTTGTACAAGGCGTGAATAAAATGTTTGAAGATGGTAAAAGCATATATGAAGTAGACAATGAATATGAGGAAGTACATGAGAACTCAGATTTATTGGATAAATTTTATAGAAACTTTGATATTTACTCAAATTTCAATCTCAAAACCCCTGACCTAAACAGTCTGAAGCGTTTAGCTCGAGTCATCTTACAAGAAAATGGTATTGAGGCTAAACAATCCGGTGATCTTTTTGGAGAAGATATTTTAAGTAAGTTAACAATAGGCAAAAAGTCTCCCAAAACAGTGAAGGCTGCGAAAGGTGGCAAAGAATCAAAGGGGAAAGTTAAAAAAGGAATTAAAAAAGGCGACTTAAACAAGAAGTCTAATGATATAAATCAAGATAACGTTGAAGTAATTCATACTGGTCACTGTGAAACAGATCTTAAAACAACTGACAGTGCAACAAATATAAATTTACCTCCACCTCAGCCAAGTGAAAACCAAATGTCCATTGTTAAATTTGCAACTTTGCCACTTAATAATGAATTTGGTATCTTTCTAGCTACAATGTGGGAAAATATAGAAACATGTTACATAAATAGCTTGAAAAATGCTTTGTTTGAAAATAGATTTATAAACTTAAGACTCCATCCATACTGTGTGTATGTGGAAAAAGAACTTAAAAAAGTAATTGAACAACCAGACTCAAAACAAAATATTGTCAATAATTTCCAGGAACAATTCAACAGCGTAAGTGAAGAGCTAAGGGCGCTTACTGAAATGAAAAGTCAGCTTCACTGTAGAGTATTGAAGCTGCAACAGGATCTTTGGAAGATTACAGATGAAAGAAAACGAGAAGTAGAAGAAAAGAGGCAAGATTTGATCCATGAAAATTGGCTGGTTAACGAAATATGTTTGTTGATCAATAGTTTCTTGAGTTTAATACAAATAGAAGTTGAGAGATCTTTCCAAGTTCTTCAACTTGTTAATGATTATTTTATGAACACGCTTGAAAAAATGCCTTCAACCCTGAAAGTCCATCCTGAGATGGTGAATATTGACAGAATAAACGCCGAGTCATTTCTAAATACTATTCAAAAACTATCTGGAGACTCGACATTTGAGAATAATGATGGAGACAAAATTGATAAACACAATTTTATAGCGAATAGCTTAGTTTCTTGCTTGGATGAACAAAAAACAATAGATATGCTAGAGAAGATTCTTTCAGAGAGAATCAAAGATGTAAAGTCAAACTTTACTTCCATTTTAAATGTTTTTCATGGCCAAAATAAATCGGAGAATATTGAGGTATCTAAATCAAACAAAGCAGAAGTCATATCAAAATCCCCAACAAGGAAAAAGCAATCATCAATCAAACCGAAAAAGGAATCTGTGAAGAATAAACTTTCAACGAACTCTCGCAAGAGCGAACAGGAAGTGAAAAACAACATTTCCGTCAAAGATATGATCATCGAGGCGTGGAAACATACAATAAACGACGAAGCTGAGAGGTTGGATTTCCGTATTGATTTAATTTATCAAACTGCAAAAGAAAACGTGATGGAGTTTTATTGCTTTGTCGAAGCTGTGTTTTGTAACCGCTACAAGTCTTTACTGTCCAGATACAACAATGAAATTTCAAACATAAACGCGGTTTGTGACTATATAAGGATGGCGATAGAAGAAGAATCGTCTTTGAATCACCAACTTATATTAGGACAAGACAGACACTTCATAGGTATCAGAGGTGATGCAGAAAATTTCAAACAACAAAGTTCTGCACTGAGGGAACTCAAAGAAGATTTTCATGAGTGTTTATTTACAATTAAACAGTTAAATCAGCTGCTTCTCATCTTCAAGATTTCTGCTCCTCTGGGTGTTGTAAGAAAACAGCCGCTTTGTTTCATGTTCCAAGATCTGATGTTGCTAGAGTCTTCTGAACACTTTCCATTTCTACCGAAGATGTGGAACAGCCTGAATGAACTTCAATTAAGAAACGTCTTTGATGAAATTTTTGGACCAGAGTTTGGAGTTGATTGGAAAGATTTTATTATATATAACCTTGAAATACCTTACCCAAAGGTAGACGACATATTATGCCTAAGAAAACAGTTTTTAATATATGACCTGGAAGAAACTGAATTAATTTCTGTAGAGCGTTACGATGAAATAAATTTATGGTTTGAAAGTGAACTTCCTGACAGCCCTGAACAAGGTTTAAGATTTGCTTTGGTGAAAAAACTTCTATCAGAAATGTTTAAAGTGGATGAAAATCATATAAACTATACCGCTTTACTCTTGTATTTCTGCAAAGACTTAGATCCAGTAAATGGGCTCAAAAAGGCATTGAGTTTGACTTTGGGTAGAAATGTAATAGTGACACAATCAGAACTGGACATGGTTCTTCAGAATGAGGAGGAAATAAACAATGTTGTTGTTTCTCTGCTTGGTGAAATAATTGATAGTATAGTTATTTTAAGAGAAGCGGCACAGGTTTATGAAATTGTTGAAACACCCTCTCAAAGTTTCTTGACATGTGATGTGTCAAGCAAAAGCAGTACCTGGCAATCTATTAGATCTTTAAACTCCGGAAGATTCGGTTCGTTGAAAAGTAACTCACAACTTGATTCTCATCTTTCGTCTAAACATGATGACGATGGCCAAGCATTCAATAAGAATATCACAAACACCCTTCAAATCACAAAGTCATGGGTGACGAGAATTCCAATCACAGCTGTTTTAAGTGTTTTGAACGCCTCATTCTTCTTCCAAGACAGAAGATTTGAGTTGAAGACCCAATACTTGAGCTGTTTGGAGGAACAAGGCGATGAAGATGGAATGATAGAGGCTTATAATTTGGTTAATCTTCCCTGCATTAAAAAGCTATTCACCATGACAAACAAATTTAAAATTTCAAAGCCTTGTGATATAGTGATGAGAACAGTTTTAAAAAAATAGTAGGAGTAAATTTTATAGATTGCTTAAGGAAGTTATAGTTGTGTTAGTAGTCTGTCTATTTTATTTTGTACCTACCAAAGGAATATGATGGTTAATTTATTACAACGGATTAGTTCACATTGTATACTTTTCCTTTGGGAATTTGCTCAGTAGAGAAAAAATACGGTTTAGAGTAAAAATCGGGAGGGGATAAAAAGGGTTTGAAACATAAGCCGTAAAGTGTGTAAATTTTATTTGAAAACTAGATTATATATATACCCAAGGGCAAAAATTAAAATACGTTTGGCTGTCTAAAAGCTGGAATTTCCATTCAAAACGTTTTCCATATAGTCTCTAAAATAGGCCTATTTATAATATTTTTAAATCATCAGAACAACTTGCACAATCTTGAAGCTAGTGAATAATTAAAAACAATGTTTTTATGGACTGACAATGGCCCAACACCTTCAAAACTGTTCCCACAATCTTCTAACACAGAACGTATTATTAATATTGAGACTCCCGTTTATTTATGTTACTATTTTTTTTATGTTTATGTATTACTTACACTGCTTTAGTTTGCAATTATCCATAAATAACGTATATTTAGTTTTGATTCACATTGAGCTGTTTAAAACTTTGCGCAAAGCTTTTTTAGATTTTAATATATTTATGACCCCTCCCCCCCCCCCACCACCACTTATGCACATGTTCTACAAATGCTAAAACTCAATAGCTAAGTGCAAGGTTTCAAACGTTTGGAATCAAATAATAATAAAATGTAGCTGAATAAATCTAAAATAATGAATTCATTGCTATTAGACAGTCATTATTTTAGTCCCCTTTTGAGGTTGTAGGATTTCCCCGCCAACCTTGACTTCTGCATTACCATGACAACAAGCTTCCATCAGAATGATGTTGTCTGCATTACAAGTATCCAAAACAGCTCACTCTCTATGGTTACATATTGCTTGGTTGGTATTAAAAAAAAAAAACTTAATTACCATTAAAACAGCTGATTGTGACCAAATGACTTCGTGTGGGTACTGATACTTATGTGTAAACTGTACCTTAATACTTCTAATACTTTTTTATGAAATGGTGACCATACATAGTAGGTATTTTAAGACAAGTATGAAGATAAGTATGAGATGAGTGTAGGATGAGTGGCGCGATCTTGTAGTCCTGTTAGTGACTAAGGCCAACATTCCTTAGACACCTATATACTAAACGATGTATATCGTATTTGTATATCTCCTAACATTGAATTTGTTTGGACTCATTCACTCATATTAAGTATTTAATAAATACCAAAACATTTAACTGTCATTCGGTACTAACGAAACAACTCCTAGTACATATAGTTAGCTGTTAGCTTAACTGTGTCACTTGTGTCAGCAAAGCAGTGAGACATTAAAATCAAAATTAAAAACTATGTTGAGAATTTTTTGTTTTAAGACTGGTAAATTAGTGACGCATTACAAATCATCCCGTTGCAAAAAACAACTTGTGTCTAAGTAACGATGTGATTTTGTAAAGATTTTGACCCCAACACAAAGAAGTTTGTTTTTAAAGCAAACGCGAGTGGACGAGAGTTAAACGAATTAGGCTATGACAGTTTCGTTGCTTTAGTTAGTAGCTCCGGGTTCTTTGGTCATCATCTTTTTTTTTAATCCAATTGATCGATGACTACTGGGTTCGGTTTCAACATAGATTAAACATGGTTTCAACCATCAAAAAAATGTTGACTTCTTAAAATCGAACCGGCAACCATCTGATAGGTTTTTGTTGTTTGTAACTAGTTTTTTAGCCCGGCATTGTTTTTCACATTACTCGAGGTAGGCTTAGAGGGGTCGTGGCATTCTCTGATAAAATCCATTGGTTGGCGGGATTTGAACCCGACACCTTGTGGTCTGAAGTCCCGCGATCTACCACTATACCAGCTCACCCCCGTTGATTACTAACTATATAACATACTAGCTGTAACCCGCGGGCTTTGCCCCGTTTAACTTCATAATTTTCAAGATGATCTCGTTCGCTTGGCTCAATCACGTCCTGGTTGAAGTTCGTTCGCTACGCTCACTCACCTTTAGGTTGGAGCTCGTTCGCTGCGCTCACTTGCCTTCAGTTAGCTCGTTCACTACGCTAACTCGCCTCCAGGGTGAATTTCGTTCGCTATGCTCACTCACCTTTTGGTTGCAAATTAGCTGTTGTCATAAATGTAAAAGAAATAATAGTGCTGCACCCTGTTGGTAATCCTTGTAACTTCAATGCTATTGAACATCATAGAACAGAACCAACTTGTTTAATTGAAACACAGCTGTTAAGATTCATTAATTCCATTTCTCATAAGGTTAACATGGGAAACTCCAGAGCCACTGGGGCGGAGCCGATTGGACGGATCACGAAATTGATGGTGTATAAACCTATTCCATGAAATTCTACACGTATGTACCAAGTTTCGTGGCAATCGGTTCAGCGGTGTCTGAGTTTATCACTGCCAAATATATAATAAGCAGCAACACCTGGGAAGTTCCAGGAACCGTGTGCCACAGCTTTTTGAGTCAGCAAATCTGTAAATACTTTCACTGTTCAGCGGTGGAAAGAGATGAAAACGAAACCTGTCGTATGACAGTAGTCAGTAGGCCTGTTAGTATAGTAGTCAGTAGGTTATCAGTAGAAGAGGAAAGTGAATGACGTCACGACGGACGCTTATCATCACAAAGGAGGAGTCAAGGTGAACATTGGTCATTACAATGAGTACTCGGGAACGCTTTTAGAGTCCGCCGCAGACGGGCTTTCGCATTTCGGGATTTCTAAGTAGTTATTGAGGCTGTTCGAATATGTTTCTTTATCACTGAAGTAGGCCTACCGAAATTGAACTTTCCGAGGTGCAGATTCATTCAATCGCGGGAACAAAGTTTAGGAGCAAGGCAGAACGAGTACGCGTAAGCAAGTTTCATCGTAGAATGATAGCGTACTTTATCATCCTTATGGATCATTGGTGAATTTCAGAAGTCGTTGGGTTGTTGTTTATTTGTTTCTTGTGATTTTATCAGTTTTGGAAACCATTTTGAGTGGTTAGAGCGCGGGTTTAGTAACTCAAACCTAAAACTATTTTAAGGGAAAGTGCCCCTCAAAACCCCCAAAAGTTCACCCTTCAAAAGTGTGTGTACTATTATAATATAAAATAACAACAATAGCATTATTCTTATTATATCATCAGGAAAAAGGTAAAATTCAAATCGATCGTAAATATATTCTCCAACATTAGTTAACACTGAACAGACAAATTGTTAACACTGTTAGACAAACTGAATCTTATTTTGTTTCATAGTTATAAGAGGTTTTCTTTAGTTTAAGTCCTGACTTGAGTCAATTTGTAAAACAGTTTTGTAACTAACTGAAACTCGCTCATGAATAAAGACCTTATTTATTTAACAGCATTTAGTAGACCTACCCCACTAAAACGACAAACTTGAATGACGATAGTCATTGATAGTTCAGACTTTTAGAGTTCAGTTAAGCATTATACATTCCTTGCTCGCTGATTATACTACTACTGTAACTTTCCTAAGTCAATGTCTTCACATACTCGGCACATAAGGGAAATACAGTAGTAGCCTAACATACTTACCGGAAAACACTTCTAGTACAAGTTCAATAAGTTTCATCACGGTGCTAAATTTTGCTTAATTTTCTCTATTTTAATCATCGGCCGAAATCATGCGATTGAAATTACCAAAGTGCATTGAAATGAAACTCTGGGATAGCGTGCGTAATGGTGCGTATATGGTTACATGGAGAACTTAATTGGTGGTAAAGGGAAAGTAAATTAATAGCAGGATATAATCAGCTGATCGTTTTTTACTCTAAAAGAGCTTAGGAAACGTTTATTAATTTCATTGCAAATTGAATGGAACCATGAATCTTACTATAAACCCATAAATCATGTTTACAACATTATAACTTTCACTATACGGAAACCGAAATAAAAAACACTATTAGTACCACACTTAATAAGAGGTTTATTTAAAGGGGGATGGGTGGCGTCGTCCTGTAATCCAACTACTAAGAGGTTACGAATTGTGGATAATTATAGGCATGCAATGTGGATACGATACTACCTAGTGTGGATTAACGTCCACACGAGTGAGTACTACGTATCTGCAGTACTATCCTAAAAAACATTTCGTATATACCAAGGCAAAAATGTGGCTCAGATTCCACTATAAACTGTAGGTCCCTTAGTTTTCATTGGCTGTATGGGCTGTACAGATGTGTCTAAGGAATAAGTCGGTCTTAGCCACTAACAAGACTACAAGATCGCGCCACTTATCCTACACTCTTCTCCATTTATACTTGGCTTAAAATACCTACTTTTTATGGTCGCCATTTCATTGAAAAGTAAAGCGTGTTCTCTTTAAAAAAAACATCCATAGCCATGAGTCCACACCGATGGGAAGTCTACTGTACATAGAGTACAAAGCTGTATTGAATATTCCCGGGAGTTTACAGGTATGGTAATATCTTAGAGTTGTTAAGCCGACAAATGTTAACATTATTCCTAGTGCTCATTGGGCCTTGAAATAGTAATAAACTAGCCTTCCAACTACGATAATGCCAGTGTCACTGATTGTTTATGGTTTGTGAGAATTGCTTAACAATTGAGTCTACAGTGAATAAAAGATTGAGATTATAATATGAATGACAAATTTAGAATCACCCGCAAGTATTGAAAGGGAATTTACAGTAATTACTTCAGTTGTACAGTTAATTTTTATTTGGGGTTTGGCTTTTCAATAAACTAGAAATCTAATGAAAGAAAAGACGCTTCGATAATTGAACCAACGATTTTCTACACCACTAACGAACAAAGTCTTCCTAAAAGTTAAGTATCGTAGCATTTACATCTTCGGTAGGGTGTTTCTAGTGTATATCGTTCTAAATACGATAAAGAATACTCCGTCATTTCTTAACCGATTTTATCCATTCGTCAAATTGGAAAGAGCGTGTCGCGTAGATTTGCAAACTGACCTTACATTTTGTCTCTTGGATTCTGTCCCAGTGGCTTTTAAAGTTCCCATGTTATCCTTATACTACCAAACTGATCGTTTTGACAGAAAACAGGTAGTTTAAACCTATATTAGTTTATTCAGACGATCTAGAGGCCATTCCATCATGTAATTAACATTGCCTGTTGATCATTGCCTCATTGAAATCACTTTTATAAATAAGATTTCTGATTTAATTGACTAGAATAATATGAAAATGGCGCACTCAATATCGTCTCGCACTAAAACCACACTAGTCAGGTAAAGCCATATTTACCGGTTATATTGTATACTATTTCTTCGTTTCTTCGACATTGTTTTTTACCTAGCTCAACCTCAAATTTCATGGAAACTAGGCTTTTGAATCTTCTGCCAAACAATCTAAAATCACTAACTGACACTAAAAGTTTTATTAAATCACTAAATATCTTCAAAACAAACCATATCTCAACCTAAATGAATTTTTTAAAGACCATAACTTCCTAAATAGGCCCTAAAAATGCTCACAGTACAGCATGAAGGAAGAAAATTCTGACAATTCCCCGATCTTGATGACCGTGGAGAAGATAAAGTGAACTGAACTGAACTGAACCGTGGTTTAATACGGTATTGTCAGTCTCTTTTTGAAACTAAACCAAGATATAGTTTATTCAAAATTTAAATATTGTTTGATTATTTTGAAAGAAAAAGCGACAAGGTGGCAGTCTACGAACTATAGTGAATAATTTATTCTGAAAATAAATTGTTCATTTTTGTCAGTTAATTAATTGAATATAGTGTTCCAAAAAATAAATAAAAACTTCAAAGATTTTCAACGATGTTAAACAAAAACAACCGCTCAAACAATAATGATTCCGTAAAAATTCAACAAGTTCTCCTCAAAGAAGGATTTGCAGACATTGGTGTGTACCAGCTGATCAAGTGTGTACCAGCTGATAGGTTCATTACAATAACATCGCAAGATGAGGTAACTCTTCCTACACTCCTCTCCTCACTACACACACCTCAGTATTGGTGGTCGTTGTTTAGTCGTAGTTTAGTGGTCGTTGGTCGTAGGAGTGAAAGTGACAAGGACGTTGAGCGCCGCGACGGCGACGCTGATACGGTCTGTAGCGGCGAGGTAAGTCACACACTGTAGGGTTTGGGCCGTTTCCTCTAGGTTAAATTGATATTTAGTTTGGTAGATGTAAATCAGGGTATGTAATTAAAAGTTTAAATTTAGTATATCATTTATAAATACTTACGTTCTGTGCTGTAGGGTTTAGACTAATTCCTGCATGTTAAATTTGTATATTAATGTAGTATAGGTTTGTTCAATTGGAAAAATTAAAGTATTTTATTCTAGATATATAGATATAAGTTATGATAGTTATATGTACGGTACTCCAGGGTTTGGGTCGTTTCCTATGGTAACATTTGAATAAATTGTTAATGTATTTCAAGCTTCTAGTCGTTAACCAATTTTAAGAACTTTAGTAGTTTTAGGTCCCCTATGCAAATTAATAATAGTAATAATAGATGTTTAGCAAAAATTATAAAATATTTTTCTTTTTAAATTCAGTTTTAATAGATTATTTTTTTTAGAAAATCCACTCACATTGCAAAATTGTTTAACTATATAAAAGTTTAAATCGATTGAAAAATACAATTCCCACGGTGCATATTTAGTCCAAACACGATACACACTTTGCAGCAATATTTGATACATAAAGCCTTAACCCAATGTCAGTAACATATGGGTTAAGGCTTTATGGGTTAAACTCGATAACCCTTATCGTTCCAACTTAATGTTCAAGGCCAAACTTTATATATAGGGTAGAGTAGTTTCATGATTTTAAGCCTCTGTAAATGAAAATACTTTTTACTTTAGTTTTTCGTCTTATAATAAAATAAATTTTTATTTGTGACTTTTATTCTCCTCCTAGACGGCTGAAGCAATAATTTTCAATTTTTGCATGGTGATAGAGACCATATCGGTGAGAGCCAACATATATATGGCGTTATTAAATTCTTGAAGGAATCCGCCCCACGGGCCCTCAAAGTTTCAATGTAATCCTTATGGAAGCAGTATTTTTGACTCATAAACAAAGGCATTAGATCAGCTGTTGACTTGAAGGAGTTATTGCAACTGATATGAAAGATATTAGAACTGAATCGGTATGGATCATAAACATAAACAAATTACGTCACTAGATCGAACTACATAACATTAATGTTTTGGTGTTTTTGGAACAGTTTAATTTAAATAATAATACAAACAAGTTTGCTTTCTTGATATTGACATAATTTGTTTATGAATAAAACTGTTTCCGTTCCAATATTATTTCTGGTAATCATATGATGACTATGATTAATTCTTGGTTTCAGTTTGAACATGATTTAATTTTTAGACAGAACATGTTTGTTATAAGTGTATTTGTCAATTGTTCTGCTAGTTTTATCTTGCAAACTGAGCATTGTCATTACTGTAGAACAAACAAATCAGTTGTCATAAATTACCTTTATGTTAATCAGAGTTCCAATAGTTTTATTTTGAAAACTAAACATTGTTATAGCTGTAGACAACAGTTGTGTTAAGAACTCAAACAAGTCAATGACGCTTGAGAACTGTAGATGACATACATTTTGAGAGCAACAATAACTGTTTGGGCTCGTAATACACACAACATTTTTTCTACCACCTTAACTAAATTATCATAACAAACATATCAAATGTAGTTCAGCATATGTTGATTTTGAGCAAATCTGATCGGATGTTGATAACATTTTTACCAGCATGGTCTATGGGAACCACCCTGGGTGTTTATGGGGATTTTATGAGGTAAAAATTTGGTTTCCCCATTTTCTACAAAAATAAAATTTTGCAATCAATTTCCTGCCCATTTTGTGGAACTTGAAAAAATAAACAATTCCGCAGTCAAACGCATCTAACGCTTATTGGAGGTGATAATTAAAGAAAACCTGCGAATTTAAAATGGCACTGTTGTAGTTTTCTAGTTATTTATGAACACATTCGGATCAAATTTATAAGGAGCAATCCCGGGATTGATTTAGACATTCCCGAAATAACGGGATTAAGACCAAATATGATCAAAGTCTTTAAAATTATTTTTATTATAAATATAAATATAATACATATATACCGTATGGAAGGTCTTACACTTGTTTTACAGGTTTGAATTAGCTGGTTATAAACTTGTGTTTGAACTCCTGCCTCCCCTTTCCAAATCCTCCCTTACAATGGTAAAATCTTGAGTTATATTGAGAAATACTTAGCAACAAGAAAATCCTCATGAAAAACATCACTGAATTTAACACTCATTAAAGATTGCATTCATAAATAAAATAAATGTATTAATAAATTATAAAACGTGGTGGCAAGAATCGTAGTTGGCGGTAAAGCGGACGTAGTTCACTGCAACACCAACAGGTAGCGCTGCCTGTCACCACCACACTCCACTGCTCTGGATGTGTTTTTAATCAATAATTAATCACATTATAAACTAAACTTTCCCTGGTATCTGTATTAAAATTAAATCACTATAATCTCTTCATTCAGTCAACTAGGTTTTATTACATACAACTTTACTAGAAAATGAAATGTATTGTAAACATTAGTTACGTTCTCGCCAGCGTTTGTGTAACTAGTTCTGTACTAATATCCAGAAAAGCTGGCTTAAGTCACGGCAGGTCTGCTACACGCCCGATATAAGATGTAGAGTAATACATCGCTTTTATTTTTTGGCAAGCCGAGAGTCGCTTCTCTCTACTGAGTTCGACGATTGGCTTATAATGTTATGAAATTGTAGATACAATGGAATCAACGCTACGTGGTGGCACTGCTTCTCTATAGTAACTGAAATTTAAATTATGGCATAGAGTGTACCTGAAAATTTCCCAGAAACAAGTATTTGTTTCTTTGTACTTGTATTTGTATTTGTTCTTTGGGTATGCCTTGGACCAAAGAATTCAGTTGCAGAGCCGCGTCGGAACGATGGATGGGCTGCTTTTAGACCCAGGATTTCCTAAGGAACGTCTGACGAGAATTATTATCAAAAGCTCGGCCTGTAAAACGATAAAATCAACGTTTAGCATCTTTTTAACAATCTTCGAGTTTTAGTTTGAAATGTTCACATTTCGATTAAATTAATTTTCCAATAAATACAATTCATATTTTACTAAATTCATGTTCAATTGTTTAGCTAAAGATATCCTATACTCTATACGAGCAAAGTCTATTTTTTGTCTGCTTGTCTGTGTATGCCTGTAATATATATATCGGAATCCAACTGAAGGATTTTTATTTGTGGAATTAGGGATTTATAGCCTTAGAAACGTTATTGACACCTCAGGAAAATTCGTATTTCACTACACAGCTCATTTGAAAATTTAAAAATTTAACAATAATTAAAAAATTTAAAAATTTAACTTATGTGTTGCCAAGAAACTGTGTGTTTAACTATGTGATTTATGTGAAATCACGATATGATATTCCTCTGGTGGTACAACCAAAGAGAAGAACACGAATCTTAAAATCTGTTTTATAACGAGGGAACACATTTATTTAACTAAATAATGTAATAAGCCCACTACTGCGTCACAAACATAAACAACTTAAGATTTTAAGATTGGATGAACGTTTTAAATCGTTCTTAGAATCAATGGTAGAACGGTGTGATAATATGATCCGCGAAGCTTCTTCCCGATTGAGATAATCTTGCTATTTCAGTTAGAATTCATTGATCAGAATTAAAATAATCAAATGATCAAGTTTGATCAAATAATCGAGTTTAGAGGCACCAAAAAGCCACTGGACTGAATCAAACCGGAAATTCTCTGACCAATAACCACCACATTTACTTTTTAATACTTAAACTTGTTAATTGACTATTGGATAATACAATCCCTTCCACCCCCCCTTCTTGTATAAATGCAACATTAAAACGTTAAAACGAAACAATAATGAGTTTTAGTACATATTTTATTTAGTTTAACATTCCAGAGTTTTAAGATTTACTTGAATGTGAAACAAAATCATGACAGATCCACTACAAATGTATTCAGTCAAATCAATGTCAAGTGAGTCATTACACTGGACCATACCCACACCACTTATTTGCCTACTCTGCATTGTGTCATAGGAAACATTAACACTTACGTAAGACTATGCTTATCTATACGCATACGCACCTTCACACACACTAACACACGCACGCACTAAACGCACACTACAAAGCATAGTTAATGCCGGCTCACGGACCCGACAGCATGTGTTAGGCATAGAGAATAGTTTTTGTTGTTTAACTGCACTTCCGTTGAAGGGGTGATAATATTTAAAACGTATGGGAAATTTACGGTTTTACCGACTAAACGTTTTAAACCTTTTCTTGAATTTGTGACGCGTCTTAAGGAAATGATTAATGAAATTTGTTTTGAATGGGCAAAGCAGGTTGGTTGCTCAGTAATAAAGACTAAGCAGTTCCTACTACGTTTAGTATAAATTGACAATGATAAATTATAACCACTACTTTGGGAACGGGTTCGAAAACTTGTTCCTACCCTTGGTTATTGTACGTTTTCGGAGCAGGTCTAAAGGATACTGTAACTTTAGAAAAGCTATTGGCAAAGTAGACAAATTAGCGACTCCTCTGTAAAGAGAATCACGATATTTTTAATCGATTCCTCCATAAAATATGACATTGCTCCATCAAACTAGCACAATACAAACAAGTCACATCACCGTGTTTTTTAACCATGCGGGTGTTTAACAATCGCTGACCTGATTTCTGTCCAATGAAATGCATTATGGGATTGATGACGTCATTGTTCGGCAATGCCACCATGATCGTAATTGTATGTAAATATCAAAATAATTATTTGATTAGTTCTTGAGTAAATTACACTTTTCTTGTATGAAATTCATTATTTTTCCAAAGAAAAATTGAAATTTAGAATTAGTTCAAATAGTTTGCGAATAAGTTAAATAACAATAAATAAATAATGTACAATAAAACAAGGACGTGAACAACTAAAATATTTTCACAAGCTGATTCATAAAAATGATATCTATGAGTGAGTATATTTAATCCATGGTTATATAAATAGTACATCACTATGCACAGCACGTATAAAAAAGATCAAGAGCTAACGCGGTTAAAGATGACATCATCTTGTTAGTTTGCTGGTCAGGTACGGCAAAACCCTTGTATAATTCTAAAGGAGCCTTGACCCAATATACTAAAAATTAACCTTCTCTTCTCGGACATTGTCGTATGGAATAAAATATTTGCAACAGAGTTATAAAAATGCATTACTGTATTACTAACAACTGAACCATGTAACATATCAGTAAACGTATTTCTATAATAAGTTGTATTCGGGTAGTTGCATTGACATCGTTATATAGTTTTATTTAGATGATTGTACCGATGTTTATAATGCCAATGGTCATAGAGCCTAATACACATGATACTTTTGTATCCAAACTGCAAAAAGAGTTCAGACAGATTATTTATGTAATTTTTAACAATTTTCTTATGAGTGATTCGTCTTGGTTCTTGGCTATATTTTAACGTCGCCTAAATATTGATTTACTGTTTTAGAACCGGAATCATCTTTAATTACAATCGTTGTGATTGTAAGGAGTGTGAGATTGCAGTGATGTGTAAATAACAATAGTGTGTAATTATAATTTTTTAGAATCAGTTGTGGGTAAGATTTTAACACCTTCTGCATACCACAAGGAACCAACTATAATTTTTTCAGCTGATTCAAAAATATTATAGACTGGCAGAGTACCCATCCTTCGTACGGGGTTGGCAAATAAGTATAAAATGCTTATTGCAGTTATACCCGATCTTTGCGTTTGCGATGTGAGAAAACACGGTTTGAGAAAATTTGCTTCCTCCCTCAAATTTACGGTATGCGATAGTATTACACATCTACCATAGCCATAATGTTCTACTACTTCACCTACACAATAGAGAAAGATAGATTATTAAAAATTCGCAAAATATCATAAATTATTCATGAAATTAAAAACATAAACATAACTGTAAACAATCCTACTTTGACAGTTCTCATTGCGAATCAGTTTTTTGTTGCTGCTTAGTTCAAATTAGCTGTTTTCATAAATAACTAGCTGGCCCGACAGACGTCGTCCTGTCCTATTGTGGTTTTATGTCACATGCTCGTTCATTTTCAAGATGAGCTCGTTCGCATGGCTCAATCACGTCCTGGTTGAAGTTCGTTCGCTACGCTCACTCATCTTTAGGTTGAAGCTCGTTCGCTGCGCTCACTTGCCTTCAGGTTAGCTCGTTTGCTACGCTAACTCGCCTCCAGGTTGAAGTTCGTTCGCTACGCTCACTCACATTTTGGTTGCAAATTAGCTATTCTCATAACTTAAAAAAATGTTATTGAACATCACAGAATCAGATAGTTTAGTTGAACCAGCTGTTAAGATTCTTTAATTCCATTTAAATATGAGTACTCATAAGGTTAACATGGGAAACTCCAGAGTCACTGGGGCGGAGCCCTTTTGATGGATCTGCACCAAACTTCACACAAACCATCCTTGAATAATGCTTAATAATGCCTGAAATCTTCATTACAATCTGTCGAGCGGTTTTGGAGTCCATAAAGGACAAACATACATTGGATTTTATAGATATAGATGAAAAAAATAATAGTGCTGCACCCTGATGGTAAATCTTATAAATTTTTAATGCTTTTGCATATCATAGAACAACTCTTTTAGTTGAAACAGCTGGCTAAATTCTTTAATTACCTTTAAATATGAATAATACTCATAAGGTTAACATGGGGAACTGCAGAGCCACTGGGGCGGAGCCCAAAAGGATTTTTGTGATAAGAATATGCCTATTAATATGTTAATCGGGAATGTGAGCTATCATCATGCCAAATTTCAGCCCAATCCGACCAGTATTTTTCGTGTTTACTTGTCACAAACATACAAACATCCATACATCCAAACTTTCTCATTTATAATATTACTAGGACTAGGATAGGACTATAAAGGTGTATTTTTAATCAATGGAATGAGGAAGCTCTTTTTATGTTTTAAGATTCTGAATTACTCGTCCGGTATGATCCATCTGAATAATCTACTGCTAATAACTTCTGTCGTTTTACATCCTCTTCCCTTATTATTATTCTAGACTGTCGTGGTTCAACAGCCAATCAAACCCATGCATTTTCTATTACGTCATCGGTAAGATCCATCCGCCAATCACAACAATGCGTCACTACTCTAGATGGCTGTGGCCGCGCTAGTTCAAAATCATTCTTATAATGTTGTTACATTGTTGTTGTATTCATCTCTGCGTGGAATCGGATTCGCGTCGGTTTATGACTGTTTTTATTGAGAAAGGACTTTCACTTGAGAGAGGATTATAGTGTTTGTGACAAGTTTACATCGAATAAATAAAACTTTTTAGATATCTTTTTCATTTAAATTCTACCGTTCTACTCACAAATATTTCTATAGAAAAGTGACAGAGTTAATACAGTTTAATTTATGTAGAAGGATTATTTTTATAGAACCATCATGCAGAATGCAAAATACCTAAACAGTACTCAAACTATTCCGTTTCAATTTAATGTTAACAGTTACGTTATTTGTTGTTTAAATAAGTTTTATTAGTCTACATACATTGTTTGTTGTTTAGTGAAAATCGCCTTGAAGTTTAATTACAGAAATAAATACTGTAGGCATGACAACATTTATTATATTTTAAGTAGTTTTTAAAACATGCTTTTCTCCAAGCTTACGGATCTACAACAATCACACAACTTGGAGATCTCATAATCTGGAGGAATTTAAATGCAACATAATATACCCTTTAATGATTCATTTTACTTACCATTCTAGCTATAAAAAATAATGGAATACTCTGGCTAACGGGTAATCTATAACTTATCAATCCCACGTAGTATCGTCCGATCTTTAAAACATTATTCAAATTGATGTGTTTTTGGTTATTTTTAATGTTTTCAGATAGGATAGTCAAATCGGTTTTTGAAATGAATGTATTTCTATTCACCCAATCATTAAACAACTTTTAAAACACGTCCTTCCTACTCTGTATACAGTAATAGTTTCAGATTCCAAGGCCACCGTGACAAATCTAACTTGTCAGTGATGAATCCTCTTCCTTTTCATCCCAAATTCGTGAATGCCTCAGAAGTCATTGCATGTGCTTTGACATAAGCTGGGTGTAGACTTGACAATGACTTGCCCAGAGTTGAAGGCCAAGCCAAGGTTGCCAACCTACACAAACAAAACACAGACCTACAGATGACACATGTATGTGTTACATGGTCCAGAGAAAGTCCATCCATATTCATCACAGTTTTACACATTTTTTGCAGAATTGTTATAAATTAAGTTTTCTTTGACATAACTGAGTGTTTCCATGCTTTGTTAAAATATGCTTTTGCTTACCTGTGTGTAATATTTATTGGGTTGAGAGATAGAATTAAATTCAATATTGGAGGAGGTTTTGTTTTTTAGATAAAAAAGTGTTCTTTGGTTATTATAAAAGTATGTGTTTTAAGGACCTCGACTTCAACAACCCTTAAGACAATTAATTTTTTGCCATGGAAAACTTATTTTGAAAAGATGATAAACACTCCAAAGCCCAGCTGTCCTCGATCATTGTGCTAAAATTTAATTATCTCGCTAAATTTAAAAGTAACAGACGATCCTAGTCATTAAAACAACACAGCCGTCTTCTCTTACTACATTCTACCATGGATAAAACCATTGACTATACTGTATAGGCAATGATGAAACATACTCCCTTGTGTTGCTTAGTCTATGATTATACTCATATTATCCACTCTAATTCAGGAAAATGAAGATAGCATAGATAAATTTATCTCATAGGTAATGATAAAGTTTATTAAATTCTCACGTACCATTGTTAGCTTTTAACCAGTAAGAAAAAGGAGAGTTTATTATTACTTTGTGGATTTTATACCTCAATATCAATACTAAATTGTAATATTAGTAAAAGTTTATACTTGATTTCTTATACAATAAATTTCATATAGTTTTATATATTTTATTAATTTTATGGTTTTTTCTGGTTGCAGATGGACACTCCAGAACATCTAGTTTTTCTAATATGTTTACATTATCTGGCAATTATCGTAAAAAGTAAGTACATTTGTATCATTTTGTGAAATTGCACCAAACCACTTTCTTACAATTTGGTACTGTTTAAAGTTGAGAAAATTACTAAAAACTCATCCTTTAAAACTAGCATACAAAAATTGGGTTAGTGTTATTATTCGATGTAATCATGCAATTTATAATCAATGTTTCTGTGAATGTTCGCTTAAAAAATACTGATAAATCAATATGTAATCTATGTATGCTTTTGCAGGCCAAGCCTGTGGGCCAGGTCTGATTTTAACATTTGCCAAGATTCCCAACATGTTGCCCAGGACAGCCTACCCTCCTGTGTTACTCTATGGGCAGGCTCCAGGTGTGGCCATCACAGCTACATGCTACAACAGGTAATAATACATGAATTGCATCTGTGATCAATGGTTCAATAGATCTGTTCAACTCCTTCATTCAATCTGCCTTGTTCATTCAATCTGCAAGTATTACTCGTTCATTCAATCTGCGACTATTCATTTAATTCAATCTGTGATCACTTAAGTTCCACTACATCATCACATGAGACTGGGGGACATTAAATTTTCATTTGACTCAAAACGGTTGAGCTACATGTTTTTTGTTTTTTTTTTTTACTGAAAATAACAAGTGTACTATTTGCTGTAGATGTAAAGAGTCCTCCAACTGCGACGGATTCATCATGGACTACAAGCAAGGAGCATGTTACCGAGTCAATATTGGTCGACAATATGAAGACTACCAGTTTCAACCAACCGTTCACTTCTACAGGAAAGTTTGTTTGAGAGGTGAACTTGTTTTCATATTTCATCATACAATTAATTGATATTATTATAACTCAAATAAATTTGTATAAGCTTCATTATTTAATTATTTTACTTCATCAGGTAAAACACGTTCTCCTAGTTTCTAGATTTTGAGGTACTGTGGAACTGAAAAATATGTGGAACTTACAATCCCTGATCTAACAGAAATTTCATCTCACTTGTTTTCAGTTCCCAGAGAATGCATACAGAGAGCGTGGCCTGTGGAGTATATACCAGGATACAAACTACTGGCAGAACAATCTCAAGTTGTCCCCAACATTGCTGACAAGTAAGAATAAATCTACTTTAGGATCCAGTTTAATTAAAAAAGCTATCACTATAGCTCTTGAGATTGAGGATGTGACTAAGGTATATGCTCGATAAAAAAAGATGCCTGGTGTAGTGGATTTTATAGTCAAGGTCGTTCATTAAAAGTCAATGGGGAGCTAGGTGCATTTTCATAAACATTAAAAAGCCACTGACTTTTTTTTGGATCGAGCCATATTGACCTTCTGAATACTTAGCGAGTACCATAATTCATCTACCCAAACATATAACATTAAGTATGAATTAATTTTAAAATCTATTAAGGCTGATTGTGGCCTTCTCTTACAGTTGACATTGGAACTTTCCCAGAACCAAACTTCATGCTTAAACTTAATCCAACAACAAAAAACTCTAAACTTTTTTAAACCCCAGGTAAGCTCTAGTACAAAAGGATACATTCTACTCTAACCTTACATCATTTCTACAGATGGATGTGTGCCCAGTTGTGTTTCAACGGCAGCCAGGGTGCGCCACCGTGCAGGTCCGCGCAGTACCAGGCATGGTCGCGCACGTGCACGCTCAGTCAGTATGACCGACACACCAGCCCTGAGAGCTTCACTCCCTCGGTAGCCTCGAACAGGGAGTTTGACTACATGGAGAACCAGTGTCCGGTATTCAATGGGTACACACCTGGTGAGTGAGAGGGTAGAATTAGACGTTACATTGCCTTTTTTGCATTTTAGCCAGTTTAGGAGTGAAGATAGACGGAGAACTAAGAGAATGATAGAGTGTGCTAATGCCAATGACTGATTGTTGTACATACTGATAAAATTTTGTACAAACATTTGAACTTATGCTTCTTCTAACGACTTTGCAAACCAGCATGATTGGACTTGGACTATGGGAGCGGGGTTCTATAAGAGCTTAATGGGGTTTTCCCATTTTTAATGCTCAAAAAATAAAATTTTGTACTTTTTTTTAACTATTTTGTATACTTTCAGAAAACCCATCCCACTTATAGAGTATGCTTTTAGCTTCAATCAAATTATAAGTTTAAACTGTGTCTCTATAATATTCTACTAGACTTTTTAGCTTTTTATACATCTACTAGCTGAACCCGGCAGACGTTGTCTTGCCTTTGACTATTTATAATCCCGCGGGCTTCGCCCCGTTTAACTTCTTAATTTTCAAGATGATCTCGTTCGCATGGCTCAATCACGTCCTGGTTGAAGTTCGTTCGCTATGCTCACTCACCTTTGGGTTGGAGCTCGTTCGCTACGCTCACTCACCTTTAGGTTGGAGCTCGTTCGCTGCGCTCACTTGCCTTCAGGTTAGCTCGTTCGCTACGCTAACTCGCCTCCAGGTTGAAGTTCGTTCGCTACGCTCACTCAGTTTTTTGGTTGCAAATTAGCTGTTGTCATAAATGTAAAAGAAATAATAGTGCTGCACCCTGTTGGTAATCCTTGTAACTTTAATGCTATTGAACATCATAGAACAGAACCAACTTGTTTAATTGAAACAGCTGTTAAGATTCATTAATTCCATTTCTCATAAGGTTAACATGGGAAACTCCAGAGCCACTGGGGCGGAGCCGATTGGACGGATCACGAAATTGATGGTGCATAAACCTATTCCATGACATTCTAAACGTATGTACCAAGTTTCGTGGCAATCGGTTCAGCGGTGTCTGAGTTTATCACTGCCAAACAAACAAACAAACAAATATATATACAAACATCCTCTTTTATACTTATAGATAAGCCTTAATCTATACATTTCCACAGAGGGGCAACCTGCGGTTGAAGAATATTGTTGGCATGATCCCATCTACAATAAAACTACTCTGCGATCAGACAAAGAACTGGACAATCTAACGGAGAAACAGGTTAGTTACAAAACATTTGAATAGGGATTCTTTGTAAAGTGCTCTAGGCTTCTAGGTTACATATGAATCAGAACAAGGTAAAGAAGGAGAAAATTATTTTTTCTTAACGGTCTAACACTATGAATAATCACCATCTCAGATACTAATATGCATATTGTCTTACTTTCAGTGTGAATGGAGATGTCAAACGGAAGCTTCGTTTCCCTGCGTAGCGTACACGTACCAATGTCCCGTCTACGGCAACAGGATCTCACGCTGTGTTCTACACTCGGACGAAGTGACATCTCGGGTGACTCCCCTAGTACCACAGCCCTGTACCACTTACAGGGAGCGGATAGCCTGCCTAGATTGTAGGTAGCGATAATTTTACTCAAAGACTCTAGGTTATTATGTTTGGCTTTTCCAATGGGAAATTAAATAAATTATAATTCATCATAAAAATTCTATCAATATGCTTTTACACTTATTCAGTGATTTAATATTGCCTATATTATTTTATCATGCTTTTTCTTCATCTTATCAATATGAATATCCAAAGTATACAAATCATGGAATGGAGTCATAAACAGTAAGGATAGGTATTCATGGTGGTTTTTTTGGCGTCAATCATCGTCACTAATATACTGTTACCAGATTTTTGCTCTTATCTTGAAGAGGCATCCTCAGTGGCTATGCTGAGACTAAGACTGGCTATAATTGGGACCACGAAAGTTTGCAGTTGGTGGCAGCCAATCACAAGACAAGGCTAGTGCGACGTTGCCACATCGCCTGTTGACAACACTAATTAAAATATATATTTTCAAATCAGCTGGTATTATTAGATTTGGCAACACCGCGCGGTTCTCATTGGTTCATTCAAAAACATATGGTAAATAGGCTCCTCATTCAACTGCAAACTTTCGTGCTCCCTACTGTAGACTCATGCCTCTTCACAGTGAGGGCAAAATGTCTGGCAACAGTGTAGAAGTGATGATGAGGTTGACGCCAAAAAACACCATGCCTCTGACAACAAAAGAACGACCTACGTTTAAGAACTAGTTGAAAAGGATAGGCAACAGTAGCAAACCTTCAGATTTGAAGTTGAATTTCCAATAAAACCTCGAATTTAGTCAACTTTCAGCCGATTCACCCTCTTTATTTTACGTTTCTCCAAATAACCTCTGCTACAAACAGTTTAACTGCTCATGAGCTCCACACCAGACCTTGCTGAAACAGGATTTTTATACTCAATCCAAATGCTGTCTCCTGGCCGGAGAGAAAATGCCTTTTCATGTTGAAGTGAGTATAACTAGAGGCAAATTTTAGAATAAGAAATGATTAAGATAACTGATTTACTCCCTACCATCAACAAATTTAATCAGGCTAGTTAAAATGATTTCAGTGTCCATCCAATGTTCACCGGCCTCCATCGTGGTCACGTTGAGAGAACGGATGTTCGCTGGACAGATCTTCGTGAGAGGTCACGCGTTTGACTGTGTCGCCAACAACAACGGCCAGGACCACGTGACTCTGGTCATCCCTCTTCCTCAGACGGAATACATCCGCAACAAGTGCGATGTGCAAATCCTGAAGGGGATCGGGAACCAAAACAGGTTATTGACAAACGTTCTTTATGTGTTTTAGATTTTTGTGTTTAATTAATATATGCACTAGACTCCTATTTTGGAGACAGCAATGTCATTAAGATGTGTATTTTAAACTGAAAATAAATGCAAGAGAAAATAAATCATTGAATTGAATGGGATGATTTGTGAGGCTTTGTTATCGACTGAGATCAGCTGTTTGTTTAACAAGATCTATTTACCAGAAGCCCAACAATCAAAGCCAGTGAGGTCCATTAAACTACATAAAAATCCAAACTAATCCCAACAAATAGAGATAAATATAGTTGGTTTGAATTATCTAAACGTTTGTACTGATAAAATATTTGGTGTTAAGAGGAAAAACAGGAGCTATCTTAGGAAAGTTGTAAATTGATGATCAGAATCAGCTAATATTCCATCAACTTAGTAATGGGTAGTACAAATTAGATCAAAATACTAATTTATATGGAAAACGTTAAGTTAACACATCCCACATCAGTGGCATCAATTGACCCCTAGAATTAGAGAGGCGAAAACCACTAGTGATGTATTATGAAAAACATTTCATTAATTTGTTGATATATCTATCTAAAAGTGGGGGCTGCCCCTTGCATTTGCTGCTATAGTCACTGTCCCATTTTGACTCCACCCTCGCCAATACAAATTCCTGCGTTGCGTCTCAAAACTAGGTTTTTTGCACTTTGAAGAATCCACAATCGTTTCACGACAATAACTGAAACAACCTTATATTTTCAGATCTGTAGCAACAACAACAATAGTTGTACAACACCACAGACTGATACAGACAGCCAGTGATAGAGTTGTCAGAGTCAGCTGTTATCTGGACACCAACAACCCAGGTGTGGGACCAGGGGAGCTGCCCCAGCCTGGCAACAATATAACTCTCAACTCATCCTTCTATGTCAAGGACCCCATGTAAGTAGCGGGGGATTGTCATGTAAGTAGCAGGGAATTGACATGAAAGAAGTTGGGGGGGGGGATTTCATGAAAATAGTAGGGGATTTTCACGTAAGTAGTGGGGATTATATTATAACTAGCAGGGATTGTCATGAAGTTTGTTTGGGGTTTTCATGAAAGGCAGGGAATTTTTCAATAGGTAGCAATAGGAATCCTCATGTAAGTATATAGCACTATCAGTACCAAAGCAAACCCGGGGAATATGTCTCTTAGAATTGTCATTAGTACCTATGGTACGGGTCACAAACATCACAATGAAAATCTAATCATTGAGTCTGTTTGCACAGTTATTAAAAGAAACTTATGTTTTAATTAGTGTAAGCTGTAAATACAATGAACATTTTTAATCCCAAAGTAGTGGGGAGATAAACTTATTTGGAGCATTGAGAAGTAAATTAACAGCAAGAAAAAATAAACTAACTGTTTTACCCACCTTCTCTATTATAGCTTGAGAACTAATACATTTTTGTTACTTAATCCGTTACCAAAAACATTGTCTTTCTACACAAAGTGATTATAACTTTAATATGATTAAAATGATTCTCTGTAACTGATTTTCAAATTACATTCTTTTTTCGATTCAGCCCTGTGCAGAACGTGATAGAAGGTTACGGGAGCTACAACAACGCCACATATCCACCTAGTGCGCAGATGAGGGTGGTGGACGTTGGGCGAGGAGGCGTCCCTGCCTCACAGACTGAACTGGGCGACGAGCTGGAGCTGCAGATATTCGTTAACCCTTCCTACAGTGAGTACAATAAAAAATAGTGGCATAGGGAAGAATACACTGTGAACTGTGAGGTCTATTGTGTCCACCAAACTTGTATGTCCGGTAAAATCTGATGTATTAATGAAATTTTAGAGTCTGGTGGCCTACAGTTTGCTTGTGATGCACTATGGGCCCCGTGAGATAATTGCGGCCCTCTCCACCTATATTGTGGGGGCATTTTTCTCTTCATTGTACTCCCAATAGTCCTAAATCCTCGTGCGTTAAAAGTGGCTCAGTATGGTGGGGTTCGAAAAGAATACATTTTTAATTGCTAACTGTTCAACTCCTACTGGTAAGGTCATGCAGTTACAACTATCCTGTTTTAATAATGATGATTTGAATGTAAGTGCTATAACCACTCGGCTATCCAGATAGTTGAACATTTAAAATCTCATAATTCCTTGCTTGCAGATGTGACAAAGATCCGAGCAGGTCATCTCATCGCAAGTTCAGGCTCCGGTCAGGACTCCTTGTTACTCCTGGATTGGCGGGGATGTCCCCCGGACCCCACAACCTTCCCCCCGCTCACCCCCAGGAACAACTCTGTGCTTGTCGCTCGCTTTCGGGCCTTCAAATTCCCAGACTCAAACATCATTAGGTTCAGCGTGATACTCACATTCTGTGTTACTTCTTGTCAACCGGTAAGAACTGACAAATGTTTTAGAGAACTGAATTGTTAAATATAACCTGCGTTGCACTAGTTAATGAACCTTCAAAAATGTGTATTAACAAAACAATATAGATGTTTGGTAAACTGCTGAACCATATCGTAAGATATTATTACTTAATCCTGTAAAAAAATATGATTATGGCTTGATAGAAGCCGAGACCCGAGCATCAACTATAAAGACAAACAAGACTTTGACAGAAAGCTAAGTTTGTAAGTTATATAATTGAAATAGTATCATGATTAAAGAACCTTTTATTTGGTGTAAACATTTACTTTTAACTCATATTGCAGACAGATTGCGGCAACGGGTTGACGTCCTTTGGCAAGAGAAGGCGCCGATCCCTCACGGATCTCATGGATGAGGACGAGGTGTCTCTGATGAGCTCTCACAACAGGAGATGGAGAAGATCTCTGGACGACATCATGGAAGAGATCCCCTTACAGCTGGAACTTAGGGTAATGACTCCGGGAGCAAAGAGTGAGGGGTCACCAAACTCCCAGACAGCTGATAATGGTAATTTGAGGATTATTTTGTATGTCCTATATCTTAGGATGCAAGGATCTATCTCAAAACCACTTCTTACATTCAGGCTACAGGTAGTCGAAAACTATTATATATGCTGTCAGAAAATGTGGTAATTAACAGTCCAATAGGGAAAGGCACAAGAAAAAGAAAGGAAAAAGGTAAACCAAAACTGAGGACTCTTTGGGAGGGGCTATAAAAGGAATAAAAGGGGTGTAGAGTAAAGTTTTGAATGGAGAAATAGGAGATTTTTTTCCTCTGGAGAGAGTTGTTTTGTAGCTTAAAGAAATAATAAAATTCGTCACTAATTTGATTTGATTTACTACTACTCCAATGTACCGGTATATATTTTAATGCCAAGATGAACAAAGGATGAGTTTTGAATCAATTAAATAATAGCTTTGTTAACTTGAAGTTTCTAGAGTAAGAACCTTAAAGGCCCCACAACCAAGGAAAGCTTCGGGTTCATTTTCCAACCATCAAAACTTCCTGTCTTTTCTCAGTATCAAAAGGCAAGAACAATTATGATTCAGCTAAAATTTTAATCCATTAGTAGTAGAAACACCTATCGTCTGGTACAGCTAACACAGACTTGTATAAATCAAAACTCATACTTATCTAGGCACTGACGTCTACACCAGCAGAAGTACTGGGACAGAGCTAGTTTGTGCCACTCTCGGAACATCATTCATGATCGGAGTAGCATGGGTGGTCTTGCAGATCTTGCTTCTGATTGGCTGCTGCTGTGCCATCAGTCGCCACGAGAAACGCCAGAGTGATCGAGTTCGACTGGAGACCGACTTTCAGCCAAAACACGTCAGCTGGGGAGATGCTCTAAATACCTCCACTCTTGGGTAATTTGCTTGAACTTTATGCCTTAATGCCTTAGTTTAAGCCGTCTTAGATCGAAACTAATTTATTTTATTTATGTATCTTCATTCTGTAAATGAGAGGCACAGACTTATAGTGTTAGATATTTGAATGCAATTGTCTTACTGTAGAGACTTATAAAAAATATCTTTAAGTTAAGTAAGTGAAATCACAGTAATTTAAATCAGTAAACTACGTGTAATGCTTTGAAATGTTTATAATTTTAGAGCAATCTTAAATCCAAATTTAATTTTTGCAGGTCTGGAAGAACCCAAGATCGGAATCAATCCTCGGCTGTACGAAGTTGACAGAAAGAGGAAGAATAATAGTCATACAAGACTGCTGATTTGCCATCTTAATTTATAGTCTAGGGAATGTACCATTGTGTAACTTCCTATGTAGAATATGTACTATAAGTTAATAACATTGTCACCTACTTCCACATCTGAAACAAAACGTCAATAAGACATCGGTAATTATTTGTCTCCTTTTGAAATAGTTACCAATAAATAGTTCCCTCAAAATGAAATATAACAGTTAGTTTTAGTTTTAGAAGGAAGGAATTTAAGATATATTTTTAAAAAGCTGTTTATAAACTTAACCAAAAGTCGCTTCGCTTTTAACAGTACCGGTACTAAGTTTTCAACTTTAAACTGTGATGTTCCCAAAGTTTACACCTATTATTTGATATAACTAGATTGTAATTATTTCTAGATAACCCAGAGATCACCTAAGATTTAATTTCACATTGTGATTTCTTTCTTGATTTTGTATAATTTGTATCTTCATATAATAAAATGATACTTTTATAACATTAGTTTTGTAATAAATAAAGCTTTAAAAAACTACAGTATTGTATTTTTGTTATAAATCTAATTTTCTTACGATGACATATGTCAGTCTCTTTGCAGCTTAGTTATCTGATTTCTACTTCACAACTTTATTGTTCGATTGTAGATATGAAGTGTGAAACAAACACAACAACACAGATGACTATTGACTCAGCTGTTTTTTAATTAATGCTCTTAACAAAAGAATCAGCTGATCATAGTCAGGTAATGCCTTGATGTTCTTGGAATATAATTATTATTGTATTATGCAATTGGATTTTTAATGTATTAATAACTGGTATTTTTTTAATAAAAATGTTTATACACATAGTCATTTTGTTATTATAACAGTTCGATATCAACAACTACCTTTGGCGCTCTAAATTTATCAATGTTTGTAGAAAATGGTTCAAATAAGTACAATCAGTTAAACAAGTGAAGTTTATTTATACTTTCAACCAGCCAGACACACTGGATATTACAGATCAGTTTTAAGATTATCAAATGATTTAACAAATTCAAATTGTGGCGAAACACTAACATTGATAATAATTGCGATGGAATGTTCACAAAATACAGTTTGAAAATACTTCCTTTTCATGTTATATTGATATTTACCGTCCGTTAACCCTCTTTGGGATACGGTATCACACTCGGCCCGATTCGCTAAAAGTTCTTCAAGTGCAATAATATTCAAAGCTGTGACGTATCCATTTAATTTACCAGCTTTACAATAAAGATTTTCTCAATTTAAACATTTATAAAATTAGTTTAACCGATTTCATTTCATATTTTCAACATCCTATGAAACAAAACCACAACAATCTTGTACAGGCTATAATTACAATGATATGAACTTACATACATAAATACATTTATCCCCTAGTCTATGTATTACATATCCAACATACTATGATTTTTTTGTACACCAATAAATTACACTGATAGCGTAGCACGTCAGCCACAGTGCCTCACAAATAGTTTTGCTAATTGGTCGAAACGTGTTGAGAAAACTTAAAACTCTGAACAGAAAAACTATCAAATAAATAGTGAAGTTTGAGGTAGGACAAAGGCTAAATCCGATGAACTACAAAGTCGAATTTCTTGTGCTTACACAGGAGTAAGAAGGGAGTTCAAAGCTCAAATTACCTCAATTACAATCTCGTAGATCGTATGTAATTGACAGTAGCGTGAAACAAACTATCAACATCAGGGAATCAACAGCAACCATTTTCTACTCTGTAATACTTATGATCTTATAGCACAACGTAATACAAAACACTGTTAATGCACGTAGACGATAAGTTTTGTAATATTTCAAGATTATTGACGGTATTGAGGTATTGTCTATTATAAATTCATTGTCCGTTGCTTAAAAACTGACTCGTGTTATAAACACTGAGCCATACGGTATTTTGTTGAATTTGTAAACCAAGATGAACCTACAAATGATGATCTTATGGGAAAATTATTTTTTAAAGTTTTATAAGAATTGTTCTCTGTTAAGAGAAATTTATACTAAACAAAATTATGATTTATTCTTAAAGTACAATATAATCCGGAAGAAATATCTTTATAAGTTAGTTTGTTTGATACAGTTAAAAATTATTGTCACTGTACCAAAATAGTAGAAGTGTAAAAAATATTAACTTGTACTAAGGAATACTGAATGTACGAGAGTTATTTGACCTATATTGTAAAATATGCAGAAACATATTGGCTTATGAGTTAACTGGTAAAAGCGGAAACCAAAATCTGCAAAACTATTTCGCCTAGCAACAGTGAGGATAAGCGGGCGCACGTTAAGGTACACTTTAACATTTATTTACATTGACAATATACAAGAAGGGGTTATGAAGAATAAAGCTATTTACTGGCGCCACAAACTCAACAATCTTAGAATATACAGCTTAAAACTAAATTAAACTTTCAATGAGTGAAAAGTATAAGTAAAATTCGATTAGATTACTGAAACTAGTATACTACACGTTTTAAACCTCTACTTACAGGCTACAGATTGCAATTATACTTACGCTGATTCAACATACATCTTGTGTATAATTTACAGTGCGACAAAATAAACAAATAACAGATCTGGCTAACACACTTTGTCAACCTAACCCTGTCTACCTACGAATGTTCCTTATAGATAGAAAGAAGTGATTTATACGTTTGTCTTAAGATAAGTGACACTACAAACAGTATACAACCTTTCTGAAGATTTTGTACCTAAACTCAAAGAGTTTAAACATATCTTTAAGCCCTATGAATACCCTTTCTGTCCTATGATTTACTAATTTTGTCCCTTTAGACAGTTTAAATTGAAAAAATATACCAGATAATTTTTTTAAAATATTTTAGCCATAACCACCGCCATGTTAATATAGTTTTTTTTTTTTTTACTGAAAGTTAACAGTTAGTTGAATACCTTGTTTGGCTATATACTCAATATTTTAATATTTCTTGGATCGCTTAACATAATTTATAGCTTTAGAACAGCATAAAACAACAGCAGTATAAAAAATAAGCTAAATTTATTTGTTTTAGTTGGAAGCATAGATATTTTGGTCATGCACACCAAGGCACAGCATGGAAATCCAAAATAATCTGAGAAATTTAGTCTAGAAAATGAATAGTTCATTTTTAGTACCTACGGTAATGAAAGATACCAAATTAATAGGAGTATATCATTTTTATCCACCCAATCCTGGAAGACTGTTTTAATTAATTCATGTATTAGTCTCCACACACTTACGTGATGCACAACTTTGTCTACATGACATTCCCAAGGTATTAAACTGACTATTCTAACAGTCAACTAATTTATTTGAACTATAAATATGTAATTATTGTACCAATAACAAATTTATTTCCCTACTAAGAAAATTATGTTCTAAAACACAAACAGTGCCAAATTGACGTTCGACTAAATTTAGAGTGGTTGTAAAATGCTGTGATGGTTATAAAAGGCAGTTGTCGGCTCTAAAAATTAAAAATTCTCATTTTGCTAAGTGCTTGCGTTGCGTCAAATGCAATGCATTAATGGGTTAAAGAGATTACTAACTCCTTTATACACTTTTTAAGTTCCCAACATCTGAGTTTTCCCGCCAATCATCTGCTATAGAATATTTTGATAGAGAAATTAAGTAAAAGAGTATGGCGTTAACTAAGCATATGAGAGTTACAGAATGTGTGTGTTAGATAAAATTACGTTATTTCCCATTGTCATCCAAGGAAAAACGGGGCAAATCACATTGGGGGTTCAACAATTAATCCTGGCTTTAAAAAAATCAGCTGATCTTAATCAGTAGCTAAACTCTCTATCCAGCTTGGATCTTCACCTTATAGTATACTACTGGGTATTCCCCGCGGTGTAGCTCATAAACCCATAGCATACAGTTTATCAACAAGGTTAATTAAAAACCACTACATCCAATTTCATCCTGTAACCCTCTGCTAAGCTGAACAAACTGGAATAGCAAGCGTTAGGTCTGAAAATTTAGCGATAAACTTATCAAATTCATTTAGCGATCTAAACCATAATCTCGCTCGAGCGAAGTCATATTCTGGCTTTTGAAATATAGTGATCAGCTGAACTGGAACACTCTTCTGGTTACAAAAGTTGACAGTGTCGAAGGTAGAGTTGTAGTTGTGCTGCAGACGAGATTAGCAGTTACAGTTAGGATTGTGGGGGCCTTGAGGTTGTTCGGTCAGTCGAGTTCCCTTCGCGTTACTCAGTAAGTCTGGGTTGGAGTCCAGGCTTTCGGACATCTTGTCACAGATGATGTCTACCAGGCGCTCGAACACTGCCTGAAATAATAGTTGGATTTTGAGATAAATTGTTGATACGTTGTTTATTTTTTTGTGTTTGTTTTATTTTCACACCGTTTGGGTTTTTGTGTAGTTTGTAATAAGTGGGGGAACTATTCAAACCGTGGACTCGCTCTCAACCATTTGTTAGATGGCACAATTAGTTATTAGCCCAATGAGGAATTTCATTCCGGTCTAGAATCAACAATCAACCTCACTTGGGATCACAACAGTAACTTTCAGATTTGAAAGTAATCACTCAATGTCTACAAGACTGTTAAACGCTATACAATATGGGTTAGGAAGGGGTGCTGTTAACCATTTCATTGACATGGTGATTCATTGAAATCGATGGGATATTTCTCATTTGATAATCACTGACTTGTGGGAGTTTTGTTTTAATGTTGATATTGTCAGAGGAAGGAAAACAGAAGAGGAGATGAAGAGGGATGTGGACTCAAGGAGAGGAACATGGTCCTTTGGCGTAGAAAGAAGAATGATGAGTGGATAGCAGCTAATATGAAAATGAAATTGGTTAAGGGTATTCTGTAGTAATTTAAATATGAAGGAGCCTGGTTGACACCCAGAGCTTCCAAAATCCTATAATCCTATCATCAATAATCGTCATTACCTTGACATTAACGTTCTCTTTCGCAGAAGTTTCAAAGAACTCAATCCCGAGTTGTTCGGCGAGCTGCTTCCCTCGCTCGAAGGATATCACTCGTTCATCCTCCATGTCGCATTTGTTGCCTACCAGGATCACTTGAGCGTTGTCCCAGGAGTAAGTCTTGATTTGGGTTACCCTGTGGGCAGAAAAAACAATTTTAGAAAATAAGGTTAAGTATGAAACAAATAGCATTGGATAAAAATAACTCAGAAATAAACAACATTGGAAACAAAAAGTATATTTAAAAAAACAAATATCCCAAAATTAACTCAGAATAAAATCTGTACAATAAATCTGTAAAAATTGCATCATAAAACTAATAGCATCAGTAACAAAAACTGTATTCTTCCATGCATCCTCAACAATTCCCCTTGACCTAAGATACAAGGGAAAAAAGTGAACACAAATTTTTATGGTAAGTATGGTATGCCTAAATTTATTATTATGGTTATTATTTGTGCTTGACCGGTATAAGCTGAGAACGTTGATGGTACTCACACCATAAAAAATGACAAACATATACAGGAAAAAGAGAGGAAGAAGTAGAGAGAGAGGAAGTATAACATTTCCAAAAGAGAAGGAGAATCTGAGGCAGTACTGCTACCTGGTGAGGTGATTGAGACAATTATAGTAACTATACACCAATTTCATGCTTGCTATGTTCTTGACTCTTTTCTGTATTTTAGAGTTGCCGAGTGGTTACAAAGAGGAAAGAGCACGTCTAGAAATCAGCAGGATGAAGGATTGATCCTGATATAAGTCAGTATGCTTTGAAACTGGGCGAAGCTGTCCCTGTAAGATTGTAGAAACTTATTACTAGGCGAGCACTTCATTATTCAGCTATTATTGTTTTCTAAATCGATTGAAAATACTATGATGTCTCCAATGCATTACTTGATCAGACATTGTTTAGTGCACATTGTTAGTTTGATGACAAACCAATTTTGCTTATTTTGTTTACAAGTTACGACAGTGGGAGCCTCACCAGTCTTGTACGCTGTTGAAGGATTCCTCGTTAGTGATGTCGTACATGAGGATGAAGCCCATGGCACCTCGGTAGTAAGCCGTCGTAATGGTACGGTATCTCTCCTGACCAGCCGTGTCCTGTCACATGACAATCACAAAATTAGTCCAAGTTCAACACATTAAGTAGTTGAAGTTCTGGTCTACACCATTCTTCTTCTACTTAGGTCTCTCAAGCACTGCATAATTGAATAATCTTGTCTTTATTTTCTGTAAACAATTCAACGGTGGCATTTAATTATACTCTAACATCAAGGTTGTCACCATATGTAGGAGGAGATTTTGGGGTTGTAAAATCCTTCTCCCTTGCAAGAATGCACACACCCTCCTAAGTAGATAAGGGTGGCTGATAGTAAGGAGATAAGAGTGAGTATCATAGAGAGACAATAGTAGGTACATTAATTGTGGCAACCCAAGAAACTATCAAAAGTAGACTCATGCTGTATTGGACTCTCTCTAAGTTCTGTGAATGTTAACTCATAGCATACTACTTACCCATTCATTATTTAACTCACCCAAATTTGTAGCTTGACACGTTTATCGTGTCGAAAAACAGTTTTTACTTTGAAGTCGATGCCAACAGTGGAAACGAATGCTGACGTGAAAGAGTCATCGGCGTAGCGGAACAAGAAGGAAGTCTTCCCGACGCTGCTGTTGCCGATGATGAGGAGTTTGAACATGTAGTCAAAGTTTTGATCTGCGGCATCCTTCTGCCACTTAGGTTCACCTTGCCCTCCAGCCATCTAAACATGGACAAAACAGTAGAGTCATAAGATACAGATATAGTCTTAAAACAGTCTATCAGTGTAAGATACAAAGTCATTATATATTCTATATATGTAGAGATAACAGAAAACCAATAAGACATAGATATACTGTATAGAGTATAAGTAGTTAATGATATAGTTGTTCTAAGTAGTTATAGAACAATTATTTAGTAGGAGTGTAGTCTTACTCTTAACAGTGTTAGTCTTAAGAGCCATAAGACATGGATAAGTGACAACATTAACAAATAAATAAGGAGGATTTTTCAAAACTAAATTTGTTAAAAACTATAAAAATCTAATTTATTTTTAATTACTATAAAAATAAACACAATATAATAATCAATAAATTTCACTAACACATTATCAAATTACAACTCAACGCCATTGGTGAATCAACGAAGTTTCTCCATTCTATCGTATTCGTATTGAACGTAAAAAGGAGTAAAAAGTGTTATAAATTACTATCTACTCGCAGAAGCTAGCGTGAGCGTCGAAACACGAAAGTAGGAGCGGAGGTAAAGATCCATTAAGGCGGTGACACACTATCGATCTTTTCCCCGATCAAGACCCCGAACCGAGCAGGGAGAAGGGAGAAGGGAGATAAATATCAGCAAAATTTTACTCCGAACATTTCCCCGAACATGACCAAGACCAGACGAATTCTACCGAGCGCGGCAAAAGGAAGTTTGGAGAGAGATAGAGAGTGTGTGCGAGTGAGAGCGTGGAGGCAGTGCCGTGGAAGAGGGAGGGGGTGCATTGCCTTTAATAATATTAATGTTTATATTATTTTTGAAAGAATTTAAGTCAACATCAATTACTTAATTCAACCTTAATATTATTAATATAATTGATTTAACGGTTTCTACACTTTCAACCTTGACCAAACAAACCACAAACATTACATCTTAAATGATTATAATATATAACGGCAACATATTACCCAACATTTATTTATTTTACCAATTAAAGAGTTTAATTGCCATATATCAGAACTATCAATGCTAGCGCAGGCGGCCGCTCGGTGCGGCGCTCGCGACGATGTACGGGGCAAAAATGTACCGTGACACACTATCGTACATCGGACCGTACATCGGACCGATCTTTTCTTTGATCTTTCGCCAAAAAACCGCCTCCAGAGCGCTCGTCTCCCTGCTCGGCCTGATGTCTTGTTCGGCGTCTTGATCGGTGTACGGACCCGTGACACACTATCGAACATCCTCCCTTCGACCTCCCTTCTCCCTTCTCCCTGCTCGGTTCGGGGTCTTGTTCGGGGAAAAGATCGATAGTGTGTCACCGTCTTACAGGTCGAATCAGCTGTGATTTCTCGTTCCTCATTCTCTACTCTCTCGCAGTTGGTACTACTGCAGCTCGGTTTATAATCAACGCCGTCAGTGGAGGAAGTTGCTTGCAATATGCACTATAACAAGTGAATACCGAACTAGTCTTTGAGTCCTGAATCCAATGATTAAAGAATTTCAATCTTTCCTTCGTCTTTACATTGATTCAATTGTTTGTGATTTAAAATATATCTAATTTTGTAGCTTGACTGTAAATAAACCTAAGCAGACATTTAATTTACAGGTAAAATGTGGAAGCTGGATTTTTTTATCCTGATGTAAGTCAATGTATTTTTTGTGGTTTAGACTAATTAGACTAGCATCACATTGAAGCAATTTTTCAGATTTTCTGTACAAGAAACCTCGCCTACAACATGTTACCTAGAAGGCTAGAAGGCTAGTTGGTTACGTGAGTCTGTGGATGACAACTAAAGGTTCCTGTTTTATTTTATGTTAGATTTGCATTTCTTTTTTCTATTTCTTTGCTATTTGGTTTATACATTATGACACCACAGAGCAGAGACAACGATATAGTCTTGAGTCGATCGTCTTGAGGGATGACAAAACCACAAGGGTCTTGGGTCTATAGTCATCGTTTTAAAATGAACTCTTATTGATCTACACGTACTTGAAGGAAACTAATTTCCAACTAATTTAAAAATTTTACTTGTTTTTCTATGATCAATGACATCAATATGGAAATAAAATAGTACTGAGTCAATCACCTGTGTGACGATGCAATATACTTGTATGAACATTTTGAAGAACGTAAACAGAGCGAATGCTACTCAACTTAACTTCCACATACTGTTTCCATGGTAACCAACCAATAAAATAATCCTACAAGCTTAACGTGGTAACTTTAAATTAAAAGTTAGTCTAACACGTTCAAGTGGTTTAGACCTCTTGTCAGGAAAATAAGACAATAATCCTTCCCAAAATTTAGAATAATTTTCGATGCAATCGGTAGACAGTTTCGTAATGCTCAAAGGTAACAAACGTCATACATTTACATACACATTTTAAAAAGTACCAGAATGCAAGTGAGAAAATTAATAACACTTTGTTTTCTTAGAGCTCGTCAACACCCGTGGAAAACGAAGTGGAGGTTTTAATTTCAAGAGTGTCGACACATCGATATGCCCGCAGAGCCCAGCTGTTAAGGGGTGGGAAATAGGAGGGGGAGGGGGTGGGTGGAGTGTCATCCCCCACAACACAAACGTCAGGGGATCGTGTTTCGACTTGATCTATCGCACTTTTTTATAAAGTTCTATAATGCTTATAAAATTGCACATGGACGAGTTGCTTAGTTTTAAATTGAATGATGGAAACAAGTTTTCATATATTTTAGTTTATACCTATGTTTATTAATTTATTTTTTTTACTTTGAAGTAGTCTGTTGTGTAATATAGTGATAGTGTTTAAATTAATTGTGACGATTTGCAGTGTTTTGGGTATTTGGTCTGCCCTACACCTATTGGTTTGCTACACACTTTTCTAGTCAGTTTGTAGTCTCGCAATTACTAAAGATTTATTTGAAATGTATATTTCTCTTTAAGCTATATTTGATTCCTGAACTTTCTATTACAGCACGAATAATTAATACGGAGACGCAGTACAGGAAGAGTGTAGAATGGAGTGAGGTACTGACTTGTATTTTTGTAACTTCCTGATATCAGCTGTTTAATTATTTATATATTTTTTGTCAAAACTAATTTATTAAAATTCCAAAAAGCAATAGCAGCTGACCACAACAGTTTCGCAACACCAAATAGCTACTGAATTCTCAGGATTTAGCCAGAGACCTTAAGATGTAATTTTAGCACAATAATCACTCAGAAGATTCATAGGCTATAAGAAATGGGGTGGCGGAATTGTACCCCCCTGGAATTGTACCCCCTGCAGGTTAGTGACGTCACGATGACGTCTCATTTTCTCGACCAAAATGGCGTGTACGAGCTGGAATTGTACCCCTTCTAAAACCAATTAACTGTAACTGTATTTACTCAATCAATGGTTATCAGGTAAATTAATGTAAATAGCTGCAGGTAAAGATTCCTGACAAAAGTTCAGTAGTTAGGGTAAAACATAAATTTTATGTGAAATAAAAAAAATACAGTTTTTTGTTTTTCTAAAATAACCGATGTTGTGCGATTCTTGTTTACCTATATACATATGTTTTTCAACTAAATAAACATTTAACTTTAAGTAAGCGTATCATTTGAAAATTAAATCTTAATTTAAATAGATGTCAATAAAAGATGGACCACAAAATAATATTTTTGGGATGGATTTACATTGACCAAAGAATACTCTCAGAGTATAGTGATAAAGTTCCCCGAGCAAAGTTCGGTCCCCAGGTACTAACAGATAAAAGGCCAAATATTTCTCTTCATTGCCCCAGTGTCATCCCGTTGCGAAGCACGGTACAGCAGCTGGTAGGATATTATCATTCTGGCAATGGCAATTTTATCGGAACATTTTGGTACAAATTCAGTCAGTTAAATTTAATTTTGCTTATTCTACAGATCGTTCGCTACAGTAATGTTATTAATTATTATTGGCCTCCTGATTAGAGAAGGCCTTTAAAAATTGTACATTACACAATGCGTGTGCAATGTAATAGCTGTGCATTAATTACTCTGTCCAAGTGAATAACAAGAACAAGGAACAGGAACACCAAGTGTGGTCAAATGTAATATCAAAGGACCGTGCGAGATGCCTCTCTTATACCCGAAGAAAGAAACGCGAATATGTTATGAAATTAACTGAAATCTTAATTAACTTTTTAAAATGTCAATATTTATCAGTTTTTGACTAAACTTAAGGTATTTACACTAGATGTAACATAGATTTAACGATTTACAATGTTCACTCAAGGGTTTGTAAGCAATTTTATATCTCCCGACATCTAGCGGATTTTAACACAACCACGTAGTTATAGTAGTTATATGCACCGCCAGGCGCGCACGACGTCGGTAAGGCAGTATTATAATTCTCTATATGACGTTTTATTCACACCCTTACTTTTCAATAACGATTATATTATTATTAATGACTGTTAAACTGGCAATTACTATTTCTTCTGTTGTTTCATTTGATTAATTTATATTTTTTTTTGGTGGTTATTGGACTACATTTTTTCAGACTTGTGAATTAGTACTCGCACCAATTCTTGCATTTAAATTGGACTATACCCCGTAACTGGCATGCGGTATCAAAATTTTACGAACCCTCAACCCTGACGCTGCTTAGATGTAGGATGAGTCGTTCAACCTTCAATTTCAGTTGAATGGAATATATGGATGGACACTGGACACAGTTATTTCCTTTTGAATAGTATATAGAAGCACTAAGTATAGTAATAGTATTTTATAAGTATAAAAGAGGATGTTTGTATATATATATTTGTTTGGCAGGGATAAACTCAGACACCGCTGAACCGATTGCCACGAAACTTACGTACATACGTGTAGAATTTCATGGAATAGGTTTATACACCATCAATTTCGTGATCCGTCCAATCGGCTCCGCCCCAGTGGCTCTGGAATTTCCCACGTTAACCTTATGAGAAATGGAATTAATGAATCTTAACAGCTGTTTCAATTAAACAAGTTGGTTCTGTTCTATGATGTTCAA